AAAAAAAGGAAGAAAAAAAAAAAAAAAAAAAAAAAAAAGAAGAATAAGAAAAAACACAAAAAAGAAAAATTCTTTGATCGCTGATTAAAAAAAAATGATAAACATATACGTGAAATATAGCTTTTACGTATACGTTACCAGTTACATATACGAAGAAACAAAATATCCACGATAGTAAATTATTCGTTAAATGATCGAATATAATATTGTATATTTACTTTGACGACATAACGATTAATAATCAAAGGAAGAAAGATCCAAGAAATCGAATTTGAACGTGCTATTCGACCGTACTTTCGTGAATAAAGCTTCTTCGTATCGTAAAATGAAGCATACGTAAGACGATTAAAAAGGAAAAGAATAGTTAATCCCCCCCTCTCTCTCTCTCTTTCTTTCTCTCTCTTTCTTTCTTTCTTTCTTTCTTTCTTTCTCTCTCTCTCTCTCTCCTTTCTCTCTCTCTCTCTCTTTCCTCCGTTCGTCCTTTTAGAAAGAACTGTGTTCGTGTATGTGTTTATTTGCGAACAATAGAAGAAAAAAAGGACGACAAAACTTGAACTTTTGCATTGATTTCGAAGATAAAATTTCGATCCTTTAGAAAAGAGAATTGAGCTTATCAGAAATTCAAAAGAAAAAAAGAAAAAAAAAATAATAATAATAATAAAAAAACAAAAATAAATAAATAAAAAACAAAAAAAGAAAATCAGAGCAGAGTGCAGCTTCGCTCGTTTTTCTATTTTTCTTTTTAAATATATTCTTTTGTTCATATATTTTCTCCATTCTCGATGCTTATAGTTCGTGCACGGAGAAAAATCATTATTTATATTATTTATGCGTTAAGAGGAGAAATATAGAACGTGTATGTGTGTGTGTATTTTCCCTGTGTGTGTGTAGCAATGTGTTTTTTCTTCACGTTCTCGAGTTAATCATATACGATAATCTAAAATACAATACGTTTATATCTTCATTGATGGCATACAATAGAATCATTAAACGTTATTTTCATAGATCGTTCACGTATGGAATTGTTTTTTTTTTCTTTTTCATTATTTTCCCGCTTTTATTCTTTTACGCGTCCTAGGAAACACGCTAAACTCGTCCGCATTTTACCAGATGAATCCTCAAGGCGAAGAAATATATATATTTCTAATTAGTCCGTATGTCTCCACGTACACATTGTGTACATATACACACACACATTTATACACGCGTATTTATGTACATAAATGTGTGTATATGTGTATATATATATACACATATACATACATATATATTATATATATATATATATATATATATATATATATATATATATAATAGAAAATTTTATTATCGTCCTCACAAATAAGAGAGGAGAGAGAGAACAAACGAATGGCCTGCACACATACATTAGCAACGAGATAAACTTTCTCTTTCCATGCCTTAGAAGAAAGAAAGAAAGAGAAAGGAGAGAGAGAGAGAGAGAGAGAGAAAGAGAGAACGAGTTAGAGAGAGAAAGAGAGAGAAAGAGAGAGATATGTTTAAAATTTTTACATTTCTATCTCCCTCTCTTTCTCTTTAAATTCTCTCTTTCTCTCTCCTTCTTTTCCTTCTCTCCTTCACCATTATCATTTCTTTTATATTCACTTTCATCTCATCTCATCTCATCTCATCTCATCTCATCTCATCTCACCCCATCTCATCTAATCACATCTCATCGATAATTGTAACGCGACGAAGCTCGCGTGCTTTTATGATACATCGTATAGAGATATATAACGTTACGATTTGTAGATAATATACATATTACACATACATACGCGGGATGCTGAGGAATTGTTAATAATAATAATAATAATAATAATAGTAATAATAGTAATAATAGTAATAATAATAATAATAATAATAATAATAATAATAATAATAATAAATCGTCTCGTCTGTTTTTTCTTACTCACGGTTTTTAAACGATCAGCTCGAGGCCGCACGCGCGAACGTATTGTCCATAGCCCGATGAGGAGGAAGAAGGATGATGATGAAGATGATGATGATGATGGTAACGATGATGATGATGATAACGATGATTATGGTGATAACGTCGATGACGATGATGATGATGATGATATCGTAGTTGTCTCTCCCGCTGGGAGCCACGATAGATGACCGTCTCCGGCGGTCCGTGGATCTTTGGATATCAGGCTTGGACGTTGAGTATCATCTTAAGATGATTCGATATATCATTATTATTTCTCCTTTCGGACCGCTGGCAACTATTGATGAGTCTGTTATTGGTCCAATGGCTTGGTGGCTTAGGTAGACTCGCAGGTGATGGTGGTTCAGAAAATTTGGCGCCAGCGTAAAAGCTATTAGTAGGGCTACCCCTTGGACTGCTGCTACTATCATATCGCAACGGCGAATTTCTTGAACTTTTACCGCTACATGGTGGACTGCAACTCAGTCTACCGGTGCTGTTGTTGTTATTGTTGATTCCATTTTTACCGTAACGTCCTCCACTACTATGAAAGAACGGTGATGATTTCATCGAACTGCGATGATGCCTCTTTCCACCTGTGTTAGGTGAGCCCTGTCGCTCGACCTTGTCGTTCAACTTTGGTGCCGAATTCGTCATGATTTCAACGAGATGAGACGATGGTTTTTTTTCTCTATCTATCTATCTATCTCTCTTTTTCTCTATCACTCTTCTACTTCTCTCGACCCGTCTAAGAAACGAATTATTATTTCTAATATATCACACTTATTGTAAATTATTTATTAAAACATTTATATATATATATATACATATATATACATATATATGTTTAAGAAAATGCATCAAACATGTTTCATTAATTATATCAAAATTATAGGAAAAAGATTTCTATTGAGAATAAAGAAATATACGATGATAAACGACATTAAAAGATGATGGAGAATATTTCAAAATAGGAACAAAGGTGTTTTACGAAAAATATAAGAGACCTCTCTCGAGAGATATTACCTGGATGATGAATAATAAAAAAGTATATACAAATTTATAAGGAGAAAAAAAAAGGAGATAAAAAAAGAAAGAAAGAAAGAAAAATGGGGATGATAAAAGGGGGATTATAATATATACATATATATATATAACTCACCGTTCTTAGTTTATCGCGGGTCGCTTCTCCTAAGGTGAAAGCAAGCAAGCAAGCGCAGGCAGGCTAGCTGGCGTCTCTCTCTTTCTCTCTCTCTCTCTCTCTGTCTTTCTCTTCTATAGCGTCCGTATCCAGCGATTTTTCTAACTGCGCAATAAGTTTGTATCCAGGGCAGAGGGGATAGGGGATCGGTCGGAGGGAACGCGCGGCGTACAAACGTGACGATGTGTTGTGATCTAGTATGTATAGTAGAATAGTGTAATAGTAATAGTAGTAGTAGTAGTGTTGTAGTAGTGTTGTAGTAGTAGTAGCAGTAGTGTTATGGCTGTTGTTGATGTTGGTAGTGGGGCACCCTGGGAAGCTTCCGTTTAGCGCGATGCTACCTCGGCCTGGTTGTTTCGAGTTCCTTGGCGGTCCTCCCTTTTCGCGTTCGTTGCGAATTTGGCCACATTCGGTGACCGTTGGTCACCTTTCGAGCAAAAACCTGACTTTTTTCTCTCAAAAACAGAATCCAATCAATCGGTGTAACGTACAAATTCACGCACAGCAGAGTCACAACCGACTATCTTTTTTTCTTTCTTGCTAGTTCCTCTACCTTCTCTCTACTCTTTCCGTCTTCTTTTCCTTCTCCTTCTACTCCGACTTCACTCCCACTTCCAAGAATTGCAGCTGGAGAAGCGAAAGATGGCGGATCCGACTTGTTTGTTTTTCACACGTCGCAACTCTCTCTCTCTTTCTCTCTCTCTGCCTGTCTGTCTGTCTGTCTTTCTTTCTCCACCCGATTGTGATATCTTAATAACCGTTGTTGACAATGAGACAAAGAGACAAAGACGACAACGTTTCTACGCACTGTACTCGTCCTTTTCTCACAAACTCCTCCTGCTCGTCCAAAAATTCGCGAAACTCTCGAAAGATATCGCGAAAAGACACATATATCAGGGACAATCTCGTCGCCTAGCGGTTAATCAATATAAGTATCGATCACGTAAAACGCGTCGATCGTTTTCTTTAAATTTCTTAACCCTCTTCAGGCGTTTTATCACACAACGAACAACGACGACGACGACGACGATTCTCTCACGATCTCGTCGTAATCGTCGTTGATACGTGGTCTTGTCCCTCTGAATATTTAAGATGTCCAAGGGAAAAAAGTATGTCAAGTCTTTTATCTTTTTTTTTTTATTTTTTTTTTTATTTTTTTTTATTTTTTTTTATTTTTTTTTTGTTTTTTTTTTGTTTTTTTTTTGTTTTTTTTTTATTTTTTTTTTTTTTGAGTCCTTTCTCTTACGATGACGAAACACCACACCAAAATCTCGTTGGTCTTCACTATCTTACGATCTCGGTCTCTAACTCCGAATTTAAAAACAAAACTTTTCCGCCTACGCCTCTTTACACACCTCTTCTTTTTCTGTCTTGATTACGCGATATCCTATTCGGTTCGCTGCAAGCAATACTTGCCCTACACGCGCACAAACTATCCTCTCCCGGCGCTATTTCTTGCCTTTGTGACGGTAATAGAAGCCTGCACCGAGAAATCGTCAACGATGCCACTTCCCCACTATTAACTCGTTGACGAATGCATGAGGCGAATGCAAGTCACGTGATAAGGAACCACCAATCGTAGTAGCCGACCATCAAGCGTTTCCGGCGTCAATAAACATGCGCGTTCGCTAAAAGAGCTAAAAATTTTCTTAATGTTAAAATTTTTATATTAAGATTGTCTCTATCCCATTTGTCCTCATTTTCTTCACTCGAAACTCTAATCAAACTTTCTACCTTATCACGAAATCGTTCGATTAGACGTTGCTGCTTTGTGTCGCTCTAACGATCCAAATATGCGATGGCGTTGATTGGTCGAACGACTAAGAGGCGCGACCACTCGTATCGCTTGATCGAAACCCACGAACGAACACCTTTGTTCTCCTTATTTTAATGAGATTCACTTGGATTCGCTCAAAGTATTCATCGTACTACCAAAGACTTAGGAATAAAAGTACACATATGTATATCTACTTTTAATCATCGATATTCTCGACTCATCATCTTTCCTGTTATTTAACCTCTTCCGAATATAAAATATCGAAGAAAATCTTTTATAAAATCGAGACATTTTATAGATATTTCTCATCGACCATCAAATAATAATATTAACAATTACGAATAATAATACCAACAATTCGTCTATTCGTTCTTTATTCTATAAAAAATATTTAAAAAATAACATGAAATTCATTAATTATCATCAATATAATCTACGCAGTTTATTTTAACCACTATCGATAAAAAAGTTTCTCTAATGAACGATAAGTGCTGCCATCTTCGATACACGTGATAGGTTCATTAGGTGACGTCAGTCGGCGAGAAAGAGACAGATGCGAAGGATAAGCGAAGATAGGAAAAAGTAAGAGAGAGAGAGAGAGAGAGAGAAAGAAGGAGAATGTCCGATAAAAGGTGGTGCGTCGCGGAGGACGTTAGGAGGGAGAGCGAGAGCGCTTAAACGAGAGGGAGCTCGTAGAGTCTACGACGACATAGAGACAATCGAAGGGGGGTATTGTAAAAACGGAAGTTCCTTTGGATAGTTTTAGGATCTTAAACTTTTTCGGCGGGCGTAAAATTATCGTCGTTGCTGTGTCGTCGTCGTCGTTATCGTTATCGTTATCGTTATTGTCGTCGTTGTCGTTGTCGTCGTTGTCGTTATCGTTGTCGTCGTCCTCGTCATCATCGTCATCGTCGTCGTGTCTGTTTTGCTTCTATTGCACGATTTCGCGACGATGGGCGGGGTCGGAGACGCGAGGTCGTGCCTCCTCCGGTCGAGTGAGAGACATGGAGCGACCTCAGTGTAACCAGTGGCTGAGCTGCACGAGCTGTTCGGCCATCGCCGACCATCGTCGTCGTTGTCGCCGTCGTCTTCGTCCTCGTCTTCGTCGTCGTCGTCGTCGTCGTCGTCGTCGTCGACGTCGTCGTTATTGTTTTTGCGAAACAAACGAAAAAATTCAGCTATGACGCCGATCCGAAAGTCCAGATTTTCTCGGTGAAAAAGAAGGTAGGAGATATCCCAGCCAACATTTACGACGCGCCATGCTCTCTTTTCTTCTTCTTCCTCTTTTATCTATTTATCTATTTATCTGTCTGTCTGTCTGTTCATCTATCTATCTATCTATCTATCTATCTATGTCTTTCTTTCTTACAAGTACATACGCACATATATCCAACATATATATACATAACACCTACATATATATAAGCACATACACGTATTCTCTTTGTTCTATCCGTCTCTGTCTATCTGGCACGTCTCCCATATTCTCTCGCTCGCTTGCTCGTAAGTAAGTAAGTAAGCAAGCAAGCAAGCACGTAAGCACGCATCGTCTTTATCCGGCATCGACGATGTGTCGTCTCTCAACTTTTTGGCAAACCTCGTGAAAGCGGCTTTCTCTCACCATGACCGGTCCCCATATTATCCGTCAGTTTGTCCTTTCCTTTCATCCTCCTTTTTCAATCGAAACCCAAGATAATCTACTCTCTTTTCTTCCCTTTTCTTCCCTTTCACGGCGACCATAATGATCGCTCAAAAACATTTTTCATTTTCACTGAATCTTTGGAATCTGTGAGAAAGATAGTAGAAAGAAGAAAAGGAAAGAGATATATATATATATATATATATATATATATATATATATATATATATATATATATAGAGAGAGAGAGAGAGAGAGAAAAAGGAGGTTACATAGGATAGATGTCAGCATGCATTCGACGGTGCGGCACCTGTGAGTGCTGCACCTTTCGATTCTTCCTTGTTTTTCTTCTCCCCACTCCTAGCTCATCCCCACTACAAAGACCTAACCTCCTTCCTTCCTTCATTTCTTCCTTCCTTCCTTCCTTTGCCCCTCTCCCACACGTAAACACAATGTCACGCGCGCACTCGACTCCTCTCTCTCTCTCTCTCTCTCTCTCTCTCTCTCCCATGCGTGTGTACGTGCGCGCGCGCACGTCGATCGTAGAAAACACACGACTTGTGCTCGTAGAGCCCCGCACGCACGTGTCCTCGGCTTTAAATCGCGCTTTCCAACCTCCTCCTCCTTCTCCTCCTCCTGCTTCTTCTTCTCCTTCTCCTCCTCTTTGGTCTCCTCTTTTTCTTCCTTCCTCCTTCCCCCTTCTCCTTCCGTCCATTCTCCTCATCCCTCCTGCGACTATCTTCCTCTACACGGACTCGGGTTATCGTGCTTCACGCTCCGATCCACGAGAATCGGAGTCGAGACACCACGAATGGACGAGTCTTTCTAAGCGAGCCCTTCTACAGTATAACTACTATTCTCCTCTCTTTCTTTCTCTCTCTCCCCTCTTTCTCTTTGTCTTTCCTTCCCCTCTCCTATGTATATAGTATATATCCTTTCTTTCTTATGGCTTTCAACATTTTTTTATTAGGAATTATCTCTTACGTTCATGCGAATGAAGATCATCTTAATCTACCAATTTGATCTCTCTCTCTCTCTCTCTTTCTCTTTCAATCTCTCTCTCTCTTTCTTTCTTTCTTTCTTTTTTTTTTTTTTATTATAATATTGGTATTAATCAAAATAGAGTTAAGAGATCAGGGTACCCGTAGAAAACTATTACATACATACATATGTAATATCGAATAATGATCAAAGTTTCATAAACTAATGTATTCTCGTCGAGCTTACATCGACATTGCTCTCACTACAGGCAAGATCCTAGCTATCGCAACGGTGTTGCGATCGATTATACGTCTACTAGCTAGACTAGATATAGTAGATGTACGATAGCGAGCTTATCTTTATTGTGTGCCTTGACATCGACTCTAATGTATGCGTATATGTGTATGTATGTGAAATTATGATTCTCTTCCAAATGATTCTCTTCTGATCTATATTATGATGAAAAAAAGTGCTAATAATATCGGTGAAGTTATTTAATGGCTTTCTCGAAATCAAATTTCCGAGGGTATTGAGCAACATACATACGTAGGTAGATGTATACGTATATACGCATATAAATAAGTAGTCGTACTTGAAAGAGCAAACTCCTTTTGTTTAAGACTTTGTACCAGACTCAGTGTTATTATGTGGCAGTATAACGTCAGCCAAGAAAGTTGCACGAAGCGATAAGGTGAATGCGAATCAGCCCGGATATCTGTTGTAAAGCGAGCCATGCTAGTTCCACTCGGTAGTTTCATGCACGTTGCTCATAGGGGAGCCCGATAAGAGATACCACGCTTTCATACGCATTCGTGTGTGTGTATGTGTGTGCCTGTGTGTGCGCACATACACACACATATTTCTGAATAATAAGCAATTTAGATTTTCAATTTCGAAATATTTTATGATATTAATTTATTGTTTAGCTTCGAAGAAGCTAAACAATCCAAATGATATTATTAAGATTTAAAATATTGTCACTCTTTGTTTAAACCAAAAGCGTCTATGATCCCAGATAAATCCGATTTTACAAAGGGACTCTGTCACCCTTTCGACGATATTTGCACATTCTCGCTAGCAAAATCGATATCCTTTGACGTTATGAATTATGGGAAAATGTAAATCAATTCTTCTTCAATTGATTCGAGTACTTAATTAGAAGGGATTGTCATTGTAAGCTTGGTAAACCATTAGGCTTAACCGAGTAATAATTAGAAAGGGTTTGAGGATAGAAATAACTCATAGGATATTTTCCTACTTGAAATCTTTTTATAAATAAAAATTTAAATATAATTGTTTATTATTATAATTATTTCTTTTGCTTTTATTTTTTTATTTTATTACACTTTGTATCAAATTCTTGATTTGATCGTATAGGCAGATACATACTCTGCATATTATATTACATGATATAATACATATGAAAATAAATCCCAATTCATGTATTACGGTCACGTGAAAAATGATTTCGGAATAAAGAAATGACGTTAAGTTCTTTCTTTTCTCTCTCTCTCTCTCTCTCTCTCTCTCTCTCTCTCTCTCTCTCTCTCTCTCTCTTCTTTTCTTTCTTTTTTCACAATCGATCGCTTTGTCATTCGCCTAAAATGAAAGCGTTCGCGATTATGAAATTTCCTGATTACGAACTAGTGCAAGAAATAATACATACATATGTACGTGTGTGTGTGTATATATATACATATCCATATATATACCATCGTGTATATATATATACATATATTGGTTGTAACAACATGCACTTGCGAATGCATAGAATTTTTCGATAGACGCAGCAGAAAATGTCGAAGCCTCGTCTGTCTGTGTGTGTATGTGTGTGATTCGATGTGTATGTTACGAGGAGTTTGCGATATGACGCAGTGATAGAGCCCGACAAGATTTCTCACGTCCGATCATTTTCTTCGCTGGCTTACCGAAAAGTTTAGAAAAAACGAAAAAAAGAGAAATGATGCCATTTTTATTCTCACATACGAGAGGAAGAGAAACGACTTTAATCTTGTTTTGCTTTCGAAAGATCAATCGATTATGAAGAAGAAAAAGAAGAGGAAGAGAAGAGGAGAAGAAGAAGAAGAAAACGCTGTTAGATGTGTGTGTGTGTGTGTGTGTATGTGTACATGAAGAAGTAAAGGAGCGTTTCTTTAAATAAATAAAAGCGAACACTCGACATTATACTCATGTCCTTTAAAGTGTGACGTTGCTTCGAGGGTTTCTAGGCTCTCACGCGGCGTGACTGTTTAGTCATATATCTTTCCTTACCTACTTTCTTGCACACCATAAATGGATATAAATTGAAGTTACGGGTTAGAAGTCCCCTTGAACGAAGCTACGTTCCCTCTGGCCTCGTAGTCAGCTCTGAGGGATTATATCGTGGAAAGCTTCCTTGTGCCGTCGAAAAGTTTCATGGAAAATGGACCATCCTATTCTAACGGGAGTTATCTATGTACATAGCTACCTATATATATATGTGTATATATATATATATTATATACACTAATACATATATGTATACGTATGTGTATGGAATCTATGCATGTGCATATATATATATGTATATATATATATGTATTGTGTACACATGTTCTATCACACCGTAAAATTTTCCATCGATCGATCGATCGACGTGTAAAACGTTGTTTGTTCGTTGTCAATCGAAAAGTTCCCGTTGTTACCATTTGGCCCTTTCGTATAACGCAAGGCGGAATGTTTGTGTTACCAAAAAAATGTTGCAACATTTATCAGACACGTTAGCACATTCGAAACATATATGTATTTTCGAGTTCGGCAATTAATCACAGTGTATATGGAACGTTAGTCGGTATAGTAAGTCGATGATTGATAATAAAAAGGTGTCTGATGAAATCGTCAGCGATTTTCTCGCGGTATCGTGAGATATTATCTTTTCTTTTTTTCTTTTTTCTTCCTCCCTCGTCCCCCACCCTCGTTCCTTTTGTTCTTGGAAAAATACGTTTGAAAATAAAGTATCTCACTTTTGAAACAAGAAGGCTCTGTTTAGTTTAGCCTACATATGCATGTGTGTATTCACTTATGTATGCATCTTTAAGACAAAACCATGGATTCTCGCACAAACAAAGTTATACCGATGGTTCTCTACCTGATGAAATTACGTAAGCATATAGAGAGCTCACGTCCCTCGGCTAGTGATGCAATAATTTAACACCGTACTAAGATCTTTAAGTCGATATCGAGCCGTAGTTGTATGTATTTACTTACGTACACGTATGTACGTACAGACGCAAGGGAAATCGTCTGTCTGTCTCTTCAACATCAACATCATTGTTGTTTCTAGAAAAATATGAAATGCACGGCCCAGAGCCACTGATATCGAAGATAAAGAAAAGAAGAACGGTAGGAATAATCGCACGAAACCAACTATGAGTTTTCTCGGTCGTCGTCGAGCAGAGCGATAAGCTCGTCCGTCCTTCTGCCTATCGCGCTTCGTGAGTGTTGTATGAGGAAACGAGAGGGGAAGTGAATCTCGGATTTTTCGAGTGGACTGAAATCACGCGATAACGTCGCCACGTAGGTTCCGTGTTCCCTTGCTGATGAGGCATCGGGAATGAAAGAGAACAATAAAAAAAGAAAAAATAACAAAATGAAGAGAGAGAAAGAGAGAGAGAAGAAAAGAAATAAAAAGAAAAGTAGAATTTTCGGAGTGGCAGGCGGGAACGACGAACGTGGCCGAGAATACGAGCGTCCTGGCGTCAGAGTCACGACGCTATCTCTCTCTCTCTCTCTCTCTCTCTCTCTCTCTCTTTCTCTCTCTTTCTTTCACTTTTTCATTCTCTCTTCGGTACATTCCCGACGCCCACGACTATGAGGAACGACGCATGCGCTGTCAGCTTTCTCGGTGCTTTCCACCTTATCGTTCGTTCTCCCTCGCGTTCGCGGATACGCCCCTGACTTTTGTACCAGCAGCCCCTTTCGCCTGTCTCTCTTCTCTGGCAGGAGGAACTGAGCGAGGCATTTTCCGATTCATAAGGGTGCATAGACGATGCGGGTCGACGACACATTTCCAAACGACGAGGAAGCCTCACCGAGGCCAAAAACTCTATCGTTTCTTCCTCCCTCCTAAGCTAGTTGGATCCCTCGAATACTACCCAACTCGTGAATACGGTCCTGTTGAGCGCGTAAACATAATCTCCCACTCTCTTCCTCTTCCGTTCTCTCGCTCTTTCTCTCTCTTTTTTCTCTCACATACTCTTCACTTCCCCTCCTTATACGCACCAATTTTCCAATTGATAAGGGTGCATAGCTGATAGCAGCCCAACCCTATCCCTCTTTCTGTCATTTTTTTATCTCTCTCTTTCTCTCTTTTTCTCCCCCTCTCCTTCCCTCCTATCTTTCCCCTCGCAAAATACATACACCGTTCGTCGAAATAATATTTTCGACTCGTCGTGTACACTCCCAGAACGGAAGGGTGAAGGAAGCCAGGCAATTTAAAAGGAAACTCTCTCGTTTAGAGTAGTCGAGCACTGTCCGCTCACTCGACTGGCAGCGTACCGATCGATTCGTGACCGATGCTTTTTTAAATCTCTCTTATCGATCGGAGATCACAGTGGACACGCATAAAACGGTTGATGAAGGAAGAGGAAGGGAGAACTCGTTCCGATCGAGCACACGAAGCTCTGTACGTTACGTAAAATTAACAGTTTCTATATTCCAAAACTTACTTTCTCATTGAGATTTCAGAAGAGGAAAGGAAAAAAGAAAGACAATCAAAGTTAGCTCATAGTTGTTTGTTTTTCTTTTCTTTCTTTCTCTTTTCAAAAAGCCCGCTCTTCCATCTAATTTTATATATTTTCAACTATTAATCTAATACATAATATCTTTATCGATCTCGCGAACATATTTTGTTCTTATTCATTCGATAAAACCATCCGTTTTACAGATCAACATGATTCTGGCAAATGCGAGCTATCCTCCTCTCTTTGATGACGATCGCATGGAATGGCCTCTCGTGTATATACGCTCAGTCCGATACTCGACGCATGACGCATATGACAGCTGTGTCGCGACGTTGCCACGCGTTGACTTATGCTCCTCACCGTCATATTCGAGAGACGTGTCAAACTCGAAAATGTTCGTTCGTACTGGGTCCGTACGAGAGGGAAGAGAAATTCTTTGCTTTTCTTTTATCTACATACTCTCTTTACTTCCACTCACTCGTTTCGAATATTGTCGTTATCATTATCGTCGACGTCATCATTGTCATCATCGTCATCGTCTCTCATTAGGATGTCTCTTCTCGCGATGTCCTCGTACGAATTCCGATTTAAAAATTCGTTCTCTCTTTCTCTCTCTATCTCTCTTTCTTTTTCTATCTCTATCTGTATTTCTATCTCTATCTCTATCTATCTATCTATTTCTTTCTTTCTTTCTTTCTTTCTTTCTTTCTCTCTTTTTCTTTTGTACTCTTTATCTATCTGTCTTTCGCGTAACGACGAAGATGTGCAAGAAGAATCGCTTAGCGAGGGTAGCAACGTAACTTGGTATTGTGCAAGAAGCATCGTGTGATCCGCTTGACAATCGTCAGGTACGTAGCGATCGTTAGTGTTACCCCTTTCTATTTAAAATAAAAAAAAAAAAAAGAAAAAAGATAAGAGGGAAGAAAGAGAGATCTCGAAATAAAGAGCGTGGAAATTCGATACGTCGTTAAAACGAGCATCGGTCAGTAGTAGTAATACTAGTAGTAGTAGTAATAGTAATAGTAGTAGTAGAGTAGTAGTAGTAGTAATAGTTTGTTCACAAAACGAATCCTCTTTCGGAGAACGAAGATGGAGAATGGAGGAATATAGGAGAGAGAGAGAGAGAGAGAGAGAGAGAGAGAGAGAGAGAGAGAGAGAGAGAGAGAGAGAGAGAGAGAGAGAGAGAGAGAGAGAGAGAGAGAGAAGCAGGTAATGTCCAGAAAGCCACGAGAACGAGGGTCTTGTCGATCCGGAATTCCCCTTCAATCCTCTCTCTCTCTCTCTCTCTCTCTCTCTCTCGTTCTATCCCTCTGGCAGGTCTGAAGCCCAGCTCGCTGGAATTTCGAAGTAGCGAGTACGCACGCGCCGCTGAACCGACCGTCCTCGGCTCGTAACATGAAAAACGGAGCGCGCTCCTATCTCGTTACCATTTTACACTAACTCCTTCCTTCGTTTCTTTTCCTCTCTCTCTCTCTCTCTCTCTCTCTCTTTTTCTCTCCCTTCTCTCTTTCTCTCTCTCTATCTCTTTCTCTCTTTACTTCTCAACTTGTTTTCGAAGGAAATGCGTAGCACCGTTCGATGTAAAGCACGCGTTTACGCTTTGCGGATATTCAGCCTTGTAGAAAATATGAGGCATACGACAAACGTACAACGTATATATGTACATAGATACGTACGTACGTAGATAGGTACGTACGTACATACGTACGTAGAACGTGGTTGTTGGATAGCAGGACTCAGGAGTGTTTACTTAGTCGCTCAGGGCTGTGTCAGTCGGAGAGTCAGCACACGGTCGTCGAGAGAACCGCGTGGGCGCGGCCTCTCTCGAGGAAGAAGGGATCTCCCTCTCTGTTCTCTTGCTATCTCTCTCTCTCTCTCTCTCTCACACACACACACTCTCCCTCTCTCTCTCTCTCTCTCTCTCTCTCTCTCTCTCTCTCTCTCTCTCTCTCTCACCGTAGATCCTACCTCTTTTTTATTCGAAGGTCCCTTCGTGTGCTCGCGGCTTCGCATCAGCACTCCCTCGCTTTAGGGTCGCCCCTATCTTCCTTCCTATCCGCTCTCCTCTGATATTAACCCCCTTCTCTTCTCTTCATCTCCCTCCTCATCATTTTCCCCCCTCTCTCTTTTTCTCTCCCTCCCTTTCATCCCTCTCTCTCTCTCTCACACATACACACACACAACTCCTATAAGGTCTCAGGGATGTAGTCTTCCCAAAAGTATCCGTGGGAATCTTTAACGAAAATCTCCGAGGAGAGACTCCCCTAGTCAATCAGCTTTCGTCGTAAGAGACCAAAGGACGATGATCGAATGTTCGTGCTATTGGATATAAGCGTCTCCCGTTGCGTTTCTTCTTCTCTCGTTGATTACGCCCGTTTAAATTCGTTTTGCGACTACGTCACGTTTTTACGTGAGACCTCGAAAGAGCAGCTTCTTTTGACTCACAAATAATCGAAAGAAACATATATACTTAAGTGCATATGTAATACGAGAAAGAATGATTTCAAAGCTATTTATTTCTCTTCTCGGACAAAAGTGTTAATAGTGCGATACGCCGAAAACGAAATGCATACGAATGTGTCTGCCATCAATCCACTTTAATCGAATAAGCTCAAAACGGCACAAAAACTACAGAAAGAGAGAAAACGCATATCTCGTGCGACTTTAACTTTATTGGGCGTTTAAAAAAGTATACGAGTTTGAATATAATTAAAAAAAAAAAATAATAATGTTCTATAGATCGCAAAATCGATTTATGCCTTTAAAAATGTGTGTATAATTGTGTTGGAAAAAAAAGTGGTGGGTTGAGAGAAACGGAGTGGAGGAGAGTGAAGTGGCGGTACAAAAGAGGAGAGAAAGGAAAGAACCGGGGCACCTTGCGTCGTTAATCGCGTCCCTGAGGTAACTTCTCCCACTCTGTCCGAGCGGCCCCACTACTAGACATCCTCACCCCTCTCCTCCATATAGTCTACTGAGTCGCACTCGGCTCAGTCAGTCGCGCGACGCCGTCAGTGACGGTTGTGTTATCCTGGTAGTTAGCGTGCTTCGCTGACTAATCTGCACGCGCGCGCGTGTGTGTGTGAGAGTGTCACCGAGGCACGCCTGTAGCGTGCGTGCGTGCGTGTTCCTGTCTGCCTACCTAATAACATATATATATGTATATATATACATCTATAGATCATATACATACGTACGTGAGTCGTCTACCAACAGCGACAAAAAGCAACGACACATTTCACGAAGCAGCCTGCATATATACACACACGCGTATATCGCTTGTGTCCATCCATCCAAGTATCCATCCATCCACATACACTACTACTACTACTATTACTACTACTACTACTACTATTACTATTACTACTACTACTACTACCGCTGCCGCAACTACTACTACTACTACACTAGGAAACGCGCGCACACCGCAGCGATTGTGTATATATCATCGTCGCTTTCGTCGTCACATCGTGCCTTCCGCTCTTGGCTGTTCGCACAAAACGAACGACGACATCCAGTCATGACGGCGACGCGGGAGTGTTACCCCATACGGTAGGAAAAGCTGTGTATTCTTCTTTCCCTTTTACCGTGATACAACGACAACGACGTCGACGATCACCACTATCCTCTCGGTAGTCGATAGTGCTAGGTCGCGAAGAGGAGGGAGCGGCTAGAGGAGGAGATCGAATGAGAGAGCAAGTGCGAGAGCGAGATAGAGATAGAGCAAAAAGTATTTTTTTTCGTTATCATCGAGTATAAAGAAAAAGTTTGAACGTAGGAAAATGCATGTCTAAATATTCATTGCGTACTTACTATTAGCCACGAATATTTTGTACGAATCGATACGCCCTCCGGCGGGCATTTGTTATGCCACGGAACGCACGCCGGAAATGGTGCTCGTATCTACCGTACGTACGGTATATAACGTTGTACACGAATTGGTCGGCGCGTTCTGCCGTGTTGAGTGCAACTGTGTGTTCTTGTTCTATCTCTCGTTTCTCGAGTTTGCTTGCTTCGTCTTTCACCTTCGCAGTAGTAAGTGCCCTGTCTCGACCAGCCCTACACGGAAAATCGAGGCTGCGCGGATCTCATTTCTCCTCCTTCTCCTCCTCCTCTTTATCATCATCTTTTTCTTCTTCTTCTTCTTCTTCTTCTTCTTCTTTTTCTTTTCTTTTCTTTGTCATCACTGTGTCGGTCGTCGTTGTTGTCCGTGTGATGTCTCATTGTCATTATCATATACACGTCGATTCATCGAGAGAAAGATGATGGTTTATCGTCGTCCGGACGTACCACACGTTCTCATTTAAAAACAAATCCGGACGTGCTTTTATGTCTACTGTATTTTCTTCATCTCTTAAGATTTATTATCAACGAAGACAACGACTAACGTTTATCATGTTTCTTTTCTTCTTCTCGATTGAAATCAAGGAAACACGCAATACATACCATCCCTAATATATTTTTCCTCATTCTCTTTTATCGCAGAAAATAAAAAGAGACTATTGTCCTTCTTAATTAGTTTTAATAACATTTCTTTTTCGTATATATATATATATATATATATATTTGTTGAGCGTATATGTCACTTTACTATCGATTCGAACGACGGCAATATCAGATCCGATAAGACGATGAAATATTTGAAAGATCAAACGAATGAGGAAAATTACGGAATATGTCGTATTTTTCCTTTTATTATACATATAAATACGTTTATTGTATATATGTATTTACAAATTCGTTTCTTCCAGATATAATTCTTCATAAATCATCGTTAACTTTTTCGAAATATTTTCACTTTTTTTACGTTTTAATGATTACCATAAACCGTATATTGGGAATCATATATTTCCAACATGTTTTTAAAGGTCTTCGAAGAAAGTAGACTTCCGACAGTAGATAGAATTACTTTCAAAAGATCGAAAAAAAATTTATATTAGTATCTTCAAATGTCATTTTAATTCGAAATTAAAATAAAAGATTTAAGCAATCTTTTCTTTTTATTTTTCTTTTTATAAATATTATTAATCTGAAGACAAAAAATATCGGTTCACGGATTAAAAGTTACTAACACGTAATAGTAGTTAGCTATTTAAATCCAAGGACTTCAACGATATTGTCATAAGCATGTAAATGACTAAGGTGTAAGTAAATAAATACGATACCTATTTTCTTTTGTATCGTCTGATCGCTGGTGGTCCTCTAAGGTACCACCGATAAATTCCTATGAACCGCGTTACAATCGATCTCATACGTATCTATACCCATAAGTGTGTGTGATGTATATATATATATATATGATACGTATATATAATGTATATGTGTATATATATGATATGTATATATATATATGATATGTATATATATATATGATATGTATATATATATATATATGATATGTATATGTATATATGTATAATATATGTATAATATATGTATACGATATGTGTATATGTATATATATGTATATGTATATATACACAATATATGGATTTTCGTTAACCAGAAATCAAGAGAAAATAAAGTAGATCGACTTTGATCGTTCGACGACAAGAGGATAGATGAAATAAAGCAACTTTGTGGTCTTCTCGAAGTAGACGAAGGTCGCTTGGTAATTGTAAAATGCATAGAGGGACTTAAATATTCTCTGGCATACATAAGGAGAACACTAAACAAAAGAGCCATACGTTCGTGTTTTCCCTCCCTTCCTCCCTCTCTGTCTCATCCTCTCACTCCCTCCCTCGCTCCCTCATTCTGTCTCTCTCGCACAAGTACGCGCGCGCACGCCAACGTATACGCGCGCACATCACGTACGTACGTATGTAGTACGTCTCCACACATTAGACCTACCGTCGTTTCCTTTGTCAGAGGAAATACATAGCGATTCATGGTGTCCCGTCCGGCCATACAAACAGAGAAATGCGATACTGTCTCGATAAACAATGATATCCTTCTCTTCCTTTCTTTTCTTTTTTTTTTTGGTTTTTCTTTTTATTTTGTTTCTTGTTCTCTTCTTTTTTTTTTTCTTAACACCATGTGGGGATAATTACGTCCAACTTTACATGTATCTTGATATTCTGCAAAACTTTTATAAATGTATAACCCCATCGTAGCGGGGGTTCAGAGAGAGAGAGAGAAAGAGAGAGAGAGGGGGGGGGGAGAGTCTTGAAAATTTTCGAAAAATCCTTGAAACTCTTGAATGTAATATTGTTCGTTCGAGCCTTCGTCTATTACCTCTTAACACGCAAGCTATTAATTTTTTATACGTAGAAGTTATTGCATATTAAATGTCAATTTTTTTCGGTATTATTTTTGAAAAAAAAATTTTATTAATTTAATTAACGATGTATTGATCGTTATTCTACGATTTTATTTTCATTTATATTATTGCTTTTTCTTTTTGTAACTTCTCTTTCATGGAAAAAATATCTACGATAGAAATGACGTTATAGCCTAATAGAAATTTTGTTTGCTTTGACAAGTTCACCTAGAGAAAGCAAGGAAGCCCTTCGTCTTTCTCGTCTGGTCACTTTTTTTTTTTTATATGTATATATATATTTTTGTTATTACCACATACACTAGGAGAACGTAAAGATCGTGTGCAGCGACGAGGGTTACAATAACGTCAGAACTTACAACTGGCATGGCTCGCGTGCTTTTGCCGGACGCAGCTGCCTTGAACGGTGGGAAAGATAGGATCTTACGATTTTGTCGCGAACTTGCCATGGCAGTCAGTTTTTTTCTTTTTTTTTTTCTCTCCTTTTTTTCCCCCTTCGGACTTATTCTCGAGAAAAGAAAATTATTAAGTATTCCACTGATATTAGAGTTACTAGAAAATTGTTTTTTTTTCTTTCCTCTTTCTTTTCTTTTTTATCTTTTTCTTTTCTTTTTAATCTTTCAAAGAGACGTGATCTTAAACATATTAATTAGAACGATCGATAATCGAGCTCTCTATAATATTGAATATTTTCAATAAAAAATATCATCGACGTGTGAGAGAGTAGAAAATTTCATTTGCATTGAACTTTCACACGCCACACAAGCGTTAACACATAAGCGCTTGTGTACACATATGCACACATATATACACATTTCTTGTATCTTCTTTAAGATTATAAGGACGAACATTTACGATAAAATAAAGTATAGAAACTTGGCTGCATTTGCACTTCGAGGAGAAGCTTCTAGCGAGAGAATACGTTCGAAAAGGCAAGCTACTATAGCATATGTGAACGTCTTATGGTGGCAGGCAGGTGGTACGGCTCGAATAAGCCTGGGCAGGTCCACCTGGGTTTTTAAGGAAGTACATATATGCTTTAGGCATCGCCCATCGTAGAAACGGTACCTTCTTGTTTGATATATCCTTTCTTAGAAAGGTCCAAGGGCCGTGAACCATTGATGTGTGTGTGTGTGTGTGTATATTATACATATATGTGTATATATATATATCTTTCCTTGAGAAATTTTATAACAAATAATGTTCCAATTTTCTGATTTAGACTACTTTTTTACCTACCTGTCTGTCCCAGTTTCTCTGATTCACTGATTGTTTGCTTATTTATTTGGTTCCCTTTTTCTCCTATCATTTCTTTATTTCCTCTTTCCTATTATTATCATTATTATTATTATCGTCATCATCGTCGCCCGTCATTTATGGTTATTTTCCTGTGCGCAGCTGATAAGTTATGTCTCTTCTTCGAAATTCTCGACCGTGCTCTTTTTCTCTTCATTTTTTTGTTTTCTTTCTGTCTATCTTTGTTTCACTCATATCCGAAAAAAACACAATAGCGTCGACGTAACCATTTGTGCACGTTTTCGATTAAAACGTTAAATGAACCTTTCCAATACCCGCATAATCGTATGTTAATTGTACAATACTTTTATTTCTCATCGATATTCAGTACTTTATAATTTATTGTAATACTACACACGCGTTTTTTTTTCTTTTCTTTTTTTAACGTATAATCGTTCTAGATTTTTGATAACGACATGACGAAAAGATTAGTTGGATTTTCTAGATAATTGCAGCACTTTTCTTTGTAAATACGTTTGTATTTTCTCGGGAAAATTTCAAGCGCAATCTCTCATGGATTTACATTCGGCATTCATCGAAACCTTACGAAACTTTATATGCAATGTGAACGAGCTGTTTAAAAATTCGCTTGGTAATCTCTTTCCACTTTATACAGAACGGCTTGGCGAGTACTCATTAAAAAATACTCATGCGCTCAGACGAAATTCAACCATCGGGGAGAAAAGGAAAAGAAAAATTGGAATTATGGTCAAGTGCTTAGAATTTTCGTGTAACATATGCGCGACATATTTACGACGTGCCAAGAAATAAAGCCGAAAGAAAAGTAAAAAAGAAAGAAACAAATAAAAAGAGTAACGTTACTGAAATCCCAATAGCTAAATGTCAGTGGTATATAATTGCAAAATGAATTTTCTACTTTGTCTAGTCTCATAATTTATGTTCTAGAACGATTTACTCACGCGAACACGTGAACGCAAAGTTTGACGGTACATCAAACTTTATCAAAACTACAAAATATGAAAAAGAAGAAAAAAAGAAGAAACAATAAGGAAAGAAACTGAAAGTTATAGGAAGAAAGTAGAAACAATAAGTAAAAAAGAAGAAAAGAAAAAGAAGCAGAAAAACTCTGTGTGTGTGTGTTTGTATGTGTATGTATCTATATATGTGTAACACCTCATATACACGCACATCGTTATCTTATAGTCGAGTACAACTGGAAAGCTCGATGGAAATCATGTATTATGGAAACCGGGAAAGTCCGGTGGATTGTAGGAACGCAGCTTGCTGCTGTTGCTGGCCGATAGACCGAGCCAACCACGATAGACCGACACGCAAAAGAAGGTGCACAGACGTTTCTCGCCAGGTGTAAAGGCTTTCTGCTCGACGAAACTCTTTTCATATGAGATCTTTTTCGAACGGATGTATATACCTGAACGATGATGTCTGCTGCGTGTGTATTTTATATAAAGATGGTGTATGTCTGTACTGTGCTCTCTCTCTCTCTCTCTCTGTGTGTGTGTGTGTGTGTGTGTGTGTGTATGTATGTGTGTGAGCGAGCGAGCGAGCGAGTGTGTATGAGCATATGTGTGTACAACGAAGAGGAAGACGAAAGGAAAAAGAGAGGAAGAGATGGAGGAGGAGTTTGTTTCTCCCTTACACTTTTTCTCTCTCTCTCTCTCTCTCTCTCTCTCTCTCTCTCTCTCTCTCTCTCTGTAGAGGGCTGCCTACAATATCCATCATTATTCAACGAAGGGAATGTGGGGGATGGCACTCTCTATAATTCGCTGCGCCGGTATGCGGGCACGGCAATATGGGAAAGAAAGAGAGAAGGACGGGGTAGAGAGAGAGAGATAGAAGTGCTCGTGGAAATTCTCGTTGAAATGCATAGTCAAGGCGATTTGAAAAATTTATCGAACTACAGGAAAATTCTGAACTATAACTGTATATGTGTATTATACAGGAACAATGTCGATCTTTAATCAGATAAATGATCATTCCGACTTACGGAACGTTGATCGCTACCTCCCAACGAGCTAATTGTGTAATTGGTGGGGTTGGATTAGTATATTATGAAATCGATTGCAGTAGAACTAATCATACGATTATGTTTGTTGCATCATTACTTTTGTAGGTAATCTCGATGTTGCGATATTTTCATATATATATATATATATATATATATATATATATATATTGTTCATTTAATTACAGATTAACATGTTATGCTAATCAAGATTATACTTAACAAGTTTTTATACATATATTTTTTTGTTCAAAATAAGAGACGAAGTTCAAGCAAATCAGAATATATCGTTTTCTTTTACGATCTCTTGATTACTATCGGCAACATATTTTAATTATAATATTCTTCTATATATGTAATCACTATATATATATATATTTATTTATTATGTAGATTGATAACAAAAAATGAATATTTCTGAAAATTATTTGGTATTTTCGTGACTTTGAAAAAGTTAATTTCTTAACTTATAAAGTATTCATTCTTTTGATATTCATTATATTTTGATTTGATAAGGAATATTTAGTTAATATGATGAAAAATGTCAATTATTTCGAAAGCATCCTTTTGGAGCAACCAAATTCGGTACTAGGAGTGGAACGCAATGAACGTGTACGAGCGTTCGACGGTCGGGTTCAAAGGGTGAAATTTGTCGGGGGCAAAAAGGAAAGTGAACGACGGGAAAAGTGGCGCTCGCGTTTCTGCAAATAAAATCGAGCGCTCTAAAATAGCCGACATCGGCGGCCCTGACTCGCAGTTAAGTTTATTGAGAGACGCTGATGGCAATAAAGAATGAGCTGCGATGGAAGAGGTAGAGGCTTGTAAAACGTACGTTTCTTTCTCAAACACACATAAACATATATACACATTAAAAAAAAAAAGATACAAGAAAATAAAGATGGAGAGAGTGAGACATAAAAAATATTTTTATGACGATACCGATATATTTTAAAAGAAAAGCAACACAGGAACGGTTTCGGCTTCGGTTTCGGTTTCGGCTTTAGCTTTAGCTTTGCCTTTAGCTTTGGCTTTGGCTTAGTCATTGGCTTCGACTGACTGACTAACTATAAGAAACGAAAGAGCCGCAAGCGTTTCTCCGTTCCGCAGACTTTATTCACAACGTGTTCTGCTCTGTAACGCTCGCGAGAACGCGGAGACTGAGCAACGATCACTTTCGTTTCTTATTGCGCGTATTGCACTTTGATCGACTCCTCTTGCCCTTTTAGTCTTGCAGTTACGTACACATACGTACGTAGCCGAGTTCGAATTTCTTTTGAAAATCGAGAGATGCAAATGGAGGTCGCGTCATCTTATTTATTCTTTACGCGGAAGAGTTACTTCTATATCGTGTATATGTGTATTTTTACACTGTATTCTGTATATGTGTATTTCTTTTTTTTTTTTTTTTACATATTCCAGGTATAATACGATAGCGAGCTACTTTATGTTATCATTATGGTGAATAACGAATGAAATATGTCAAAATATATCATTCAAATGTATCAAATAATGTATCAATTATATCCGAACGATTCAATTTCTATTATTTTTATTCGAATTTCCATCGATCAAGAATAGATAAGATATCATAAAAATTCTCTTATGATCTATAGTTTTGATGTTATTAGATATAGATACAACATGGAAAAGATTTATTACATAAATCACTTCCTTTGCACTTATGAATCAATGTAAGAGTTAACGTGATAATATTCTGTTGGATTTATCGATGACAATTGAATATCGCATGAAAGATTAACGTTAAAATACCGGCAGCGTTATTTCGTATTTGGCATGTAGGTATGTAATCGTTTGTTGAAAAACGTACAAGGCGGACCCTGGAACGGCGCTAATAAAACATAATCTGGATTAACGTAAAGTAAATTATGATTAGGATTGTGGGACGTTGATACATGGGATACCTATAAACCTGCGGTACGTAGGTACATGCATCGAGCCGGCAAACACTTTATTGATGCACCTCGGTAATTATCGTGGCGAGCTGCACAATAAAGTATCGCGCTTGTGTCGTACATATGTATCCACTTATTTACCATGTATAATTCATATACAGCATAAGGTAATTTTCTTTGATGATAATCTTTGCGATTATCAATGAACTACTGAAAATTGTAAATTTTTTATTTTGTTTCTCTCTCTCTCCTTAGCGATAAGGAAGAGACAAGCATTAGACTTAGAATCGATTCTCGAAGGAAAAACCATCGAAATTTTTTTCCCCCTTGAACTATGGAAGTATAACGTCTAATTTAACCCATGCATAATACACGCTCATCGAGAAGAATAACTTGCCTTACGTGGGAATTTATATGCGGCTTCTGAAAGCTCGTTATACTTAGGTCTCTTTCGAGCTGCAGAACGAAGAAAATGCATCCTCGGAGGCCCACCTTCTCGTCGAGTGGACCCTGAATATTTTAACGTATCCTCATCCCTCTCTCTCTCTCTCTCTCTCTCTCTCTCTCTCTCTCTCTCTCTCTCTCTCTCTCTCTCTCTCTCTCTCTTCTCTATTTTTTTTCCTGAAAATCTTTGAGACCGAGAGTTCATGCACGAACTTCCCAGCTGAAAGTATACGAACTTATGTATTATATACACACAAGTGTGTGTGTATATAATATATATATATGTGTATATATATATATATTTACTTATCTACGTAGAAAGATATAACAACCGCTGATCGTCATCTCGCAGATTCCTCGTAAAATAAACTCGCTCGAGAGAGAGAAAGAGCATACCCTCTACCTATCTACCTACCTGTGTGAATGAATTTTCCAAATATACTGGCCTGTCGAAGAATAATTATGTTTTAATATTATTTGAAAATTTTATGAAAAAATTATATGAGAAAAGAGAAGAGTGACGTCATTGTAGCGGGAAATTCGAGATTTCGATAGCGTCGTTTTAGGAGGGAAATTGAGAGGAGAGAAGGAGGGTGAAGTGTGCGTGTCTCTTTCTCTCTCTCTCTCTCTCTCTCTCTCTCTCTCTCTCTCTCTCTCTCTCTCTCTCTCTCTCTCTCTCTCGCTTTCTCTCTGGGGTGCCAGCCAGTTTCGTGATACGAAGCAGCATGGATCGATAGCGTGAGCTCCTTCGAGTCCTCTCGGGCTAGCGATTCCTGGAGGATTCGAAGGAGAGAACCGAAGCACTTGGTGAGCGTATATGTGTATGTGTATCTGTGTGTCTGTGTACGTGTATGTCTATGTGTATGTGTATATGTGCGAGACCTGCAGAGGGTTTCGACCTGCCGCCATCGACGTCGCCATCGTGTCGTGCCGGTACGCCGCCCTTGCACCGCCCCAGGGACGACTACCACCTTTTGTCGTTCCTTTCTCGTCCCTTTTTGGTAGCTCGAGTGGACGAGAAAGAAAGAGAGAGAGAGAGAGAAAGAGAAAGAGAGAGACGAAAATTTGAGGCCTCGTCGACGATGACGATGACTACGACGTCGACGAGACTGGCTGCTCACCAGCTGCTGTTCTCGGGGCTCCTTGGAAAATCAACGAACGCAGCTGCTTCCGTCGAAGTCGATAGAACGAAGTCTCCTCGACGAATTCGAAATTCGAGAGATCCTTTCAACTCAAATCTCCTTCCTTTCCGATTCGATTCTTCGTGCTGGTTAATACGTGGAGACCCTCGAATTCTCGGTACTTATTCCTTTAGTTCACTCGAGTTTGAGATTAATGACATACTTTAGAGTTATAATTGTTTGATTTATTTTTTCTTCTTTCATTTAATATTTGTTTATTTTCTTTATTACTTTTTTTTTATTGCCTCTTCTTTTGAAATATTTTGATTTTTAAATTTGACAATTATCTATGAAATTCATCTTATTCCCAACGTTTCTCATCTGATATAATTAAAAAAAAATTGAAATTGGTAGAAAAATCCTCTGTAAATTCTCTTCGATATATACCTAAAATAATGCATTATTATTTCGAACAGAGAAAAGTGATTTAAATAATAATTTCATATAATAATTTTATTTTAACGATCCCCTTATCTACCTTAATTTTATCGAATTATCATTTGATGTTTCAAATGGGGGTAAAAATAATCAAAGAAAGAAGTCAATGATGTATATAGAAATTTTTTTGAACATAGAGACGGGCTACGCTTTTGCTTTTTGTCGGCTCTCGAGTCCACCACCGCACCACGGACCGAGTTTAAAGGTAAACGAGTTTCTCTCGGCTGTTCAAGCGCGCCACATCATCGAAAGGCCCAACCTCTTATGCTGCTTGGGCCTGCGTTTATATATGTATAGGCATATATATACATATACATACGTATATATATATATATATATATATATATATATATATATATATAGCATAGTTACATAGCGTGCTCACCTCGTGGCCTGAACTGCTCCACACGCACCGTGACAACGGGGCCTCGATATTCCGGTTACCTTCGCTTCGGCTTTACCGGCTGTTACTTTAAATTTATATTAACGCGTTCCTTCCTACCAGAAGACATTCGAGAATGGTATTGAACGCTCCGAATGAAATCGGAAGTCGATGAGAATCTTAATAAAATTTTACATTCTTATATATATATATATATATATATATATATATATATATATATATGTATATATGTATATATATGTATATATATATATAAAAGAAAAAGGACAAAGAAAAGAATCGTAATTCATTTGTTATTTTAATTAAAAGATTTGTAGTGAATAATTATTTTAGAATTTCTAATCGATCAGTTCTCTTGATAGTAGAGACTTTATAAATCAGTTACGTTTCGCAGGAACAGTTATCGCTTTGGTAAGCGTTCCGGCGCGAAACTCGTTTCGAAACGCGTTATCGAGGCAAGTGAAAACGGTCGGCGTTAGTTGTTGCGCGTCTCTCGCGGCATTCGGCTTAAATACAAATTTCTACGTAAATCGATAGGATCGTCGAGGAAATGAAATGGTAACGAGAAGAGCGTTGGTGTGCTTTGTCGAGAGTAGCCGAACGAACGAACGGACGAATGAACGAACGAACGAACGAACGAAGGAGCCAATCGATATATTGCAACGATCGATGTTTCGTAGTTTCGTGCTTCTATAAACGATGATCGACTACCGTAGAAACGTCCTCCTTTTCGATTACGGAATGCTGGGAAATCCTGAGTGAAGGTAGAAAAATGAAAAGAAATCGATACGAACTTTCTTTCATACGTATTCCTTTGTTGTGTTAGTTGTATCAAAAGAGGAAAAAAGAGTGAGTGAATGAGTGAGAGAGAGAGACAGAGAGAGAGAGAGAGAGAGAGAGAGAGAGAGAGAGAGAGAGAGAGAGAGAGAGAGAGAGAGAGAAAGAGAGAAATTTGAAAAGACGAATTTTTTGTTGGTTTCGAAGGCCAATATTATTCGATCCTCACAGGACGACTCGAAAATCGTTGCGATTGGTTGGCGTTCTCCGAAAGTACTTTTTCGTCTTTGTGCGGTCCATGGCCCGTACAAAAGCAGTAGAAAGAGAGAGAGAAAGAAAGGTGGGCCCGAAGCAACGGGGCCTGGATATTCCGGTTCACTTAATCGTTTTCTTGGATTTCGGATCGTGGCCTCTCTGCGGTCGACAAAGTTGTATAAGATTCGTTGGGAGACTTCGAGAGACCGTATCCAAATCGTTGTGCTTCCTGGCTAAGAGATCATCTCTTATAAATCAAAAATGCAACTTTCGTCGGTTTTCTTTCATTCTCATAAATCAAAATGATGTTGACTTTAAAAGAATAGAAGAATCATCGTCTTGTTTTTCTTTATCATTTGACCGAACCTATAACTGAGAGATAAAAAATTTATTACAATCATATCAATGATAAAATGATTTTAAATCGAATATTATACATAAGTAGGTTGATATTATTACTATTATTTACTGGATCAATTGAGTGAAGCTCTAGCGACTATGCTATAAATGTATCTCGAATATGTCGTAGCCTTTATGCCGAAACCTACTGAAATTCTTTATAGACGGGTGTACACGTACAATGTACGTACATATATACGCACGTAAAATAAACCGTGTCCCGGCAAACGATAACTCGTTCTACAATCTGAAATATCGATCACGACCGGTCGAGAAAAGAGTGAACGAAACACGTGAGTCAACATCGTCGAAGGCGGTAATGTGCATTATTTTAAATAAAAGAAAGTATTGTCTCATGACCTACGTGAGTGGAAGTCGAAAATTTAAATTACAAATTTACGATAGCCGTCCTTTTTTTCTTCTTTCTTTCCTTTTTCTTCTTCTCATTTTTCTAAAATATCAATCACATAAATCTTCTTTCACAATGAATTTTTTATAATTTATACTTTATCACAAATTTAATAGGATATCGCGTACCATATCGCGATATGGCGCCTGCTCGACACGAGATACGAAATAATTGAAAAATATCATATGTAGAATACAAATACATTTATTGTATGTATGTATGTATGTGTGTGTGTGTGTGTGTGTGTGTGTGTGTGTGTGTGTGTGTGTGTGTATGTATGTATGTATGTATGTATGTATGTATGTATGTATGTATGTATGTATGTATGTATGTATATATGTTTGTATATATGAGTACGTATACTTCCTCATGAAGTATAAACTAGTAAAGAGAAAGACAAAGACTGTACTGTAGTGTGTACATTCGTCCTCTTCTTCTCTTTCACAGCACGATAATCTTTTTCTTCTTTTTCTTCTTCTATTTTCTTCTTCTTTTTCTTCTTCTTCTTCGTGCTTATCCCATAGGTTGTAGGTAGAGCTTTTGCGGCATCATGAAAGTAGTTTTAAATAGGATTGTCATAGACACGAGTAAGCAACCAAACAAATATTACCTAGTCTCTTATCGTCAAAGAGAACTTCCATATATACATACATATACTTTCGACATAAGCTACTTCGATTTCTATTGCACTTTTTAATTAGACATATCTCATTTTTATTCTTTAAGAATTGCAACGCTCTATATGTGCTTTGTTGACTTTCTATTTCCTTCCTCTTTGCTTTTACGCTTTGCTTTTATGCTTTTAAGCGTTTGTGAAACGTTAGAAAAGGAGCATTTTAAGGTACATATGTTCGTCATATTTTTTCAACTTTTCTCTCTCTTTCTCTCTCTCTCTCTTTCTCCTTCTTCCTTTTTTCTTCTTTTTTTTTTTTCTTTTGAAAAAATATGATGCGACATCGGCATGATATATGCGGTAGTTATCATTTATTATTTGCTTTGCTAGTTTAGGTAACTATCGAAATAAAAATATCGTTCAATATTTTTCAAGCACGTCAAAAGTCATTTATCGTAACACTTTGTCGATTACGAGTTGCTCCTTTTCTCAAAATTTTAACAATCTCGGATAAAAACAAGAAACGTTTATAAAAGTGAGCGAGAGAATCAGAAAATCAAAGTAGACGTCAAAATGGTTTTAACAGAGCTGAATATACAGAGACTGGATTAAACTATCGGCATACGAACTGGTCGTAAAACTGTATCATAAAATGATTCTATTTTACTGCTGAACGCATATCAGTTGAATGGGGAAAAAAAGAAAAGAAAAAGAAAAATTCTGGCATCTAAAAAGAAGCATCGTCAGAACCTGTCTCTCTGTATTTGTTCCTACAAATTATATTCCAAGTTCTTCGAAAATAGTACAAATTGGTCGGATAAGATAATACAGATTATTTAAATGACTTTAATAGATAAGAAAAGTACGTATTTAGCACGATCTTAGGATGAAATATTATAAAAAATTAGCGACCAGTTCGGATGTTATTAGGTCGATAGATATATCAAATAAATTTTGCTTTTATCGCACATATCTAATCTCAACGACTCGTCAACGTAAAGTCGCTCGAATATCCCGCCAGGTTCCTCTTGGAGGAGTCGACCAATCAACAGCGTACCAGATACGAACGGTCTTGGATAGAGAGCGAGAAAAGTAAGCGAGCAGACTAGCAAGCAAGCAAGCAAGAACGAAAGAACGAACGAGAGAAAGAAAAAGAGTGAGTAGGAGTTAGCGAGGTTATCCTCGTTGAGTTCGAGCTTTGCAAAGAGGCAAGAAGCAAGCAATAGAAGGAAAAGACACGAAGAAGCAGGAAGGTGTAAAGGTCGTGTTCAAGGCTTTGGAGGTGTCAGAGAAAGAGGAGGAGGAGGAGAAAAAAGATAAAGAGAAGAGACAGAATGAACGGCCCTGGGAGCCATCAGCATCGTGGCTTGGGTATCACGGGACGTTACAGGGCCGTGGTTGGCAGTGGAGCCTCATCGGGGCCACACACGAGGCCTACGGCGCCTCCACACCCTCGTGGGGGATGGCATCCCCACAACCAGCATTCTCAGCATACCCAACTTGGTCAGCAATATGCCGGAAACAAGGAATATCCGTATCGACAGTGCCCGTCGCTACCGCGCTATCATAATGGGTATATAACACACTTGTGGTGCATCATTGGTGCATCTTCGGTGCATCGTTCGTGATGTCTTACCAGACCTTTTCTTTTCCCTCTTTCTTTTTTTTTTCGTTCGTCCTATTCTTCCTACTTATCTATCCTTAATTGTGCTTGCTTTCCTTCTTGTTTCTTTTTTCTTTTTCTTTTTTTCTTTTTTTTTTCTTTCGTATTATGTTTAACATCGATCAAAAGTTACAAATATTCTGCGAGTGCGTTTGTACTTTTTATTTTTATTTATTTATTCTTTTCTTTTGCTTTGTAAATAAATCTTAGTATCTAGAAATGTACTGATTTACTACTCATCATTGGTATTAATTTTTTCAAGGAAATTGTGATATGAATTTCATTTCGATTAATCTAATGTAATATTTAGTTTCATTTTTTGATTAAAACACCATTTATACATTATAATTATATTGTAATGAGTAATATCAACGAAGAAACGTGGAAGAAACATTATTTTAATAATTAAAATACGTTATTTTAAAAATTAATATCGTCAAAGGTTATTTAAAATCTATAATGTTCTGAATTTTTGATCGATACGTACATATATATATATATATATATATATATATATATATATATATATATATATAGCTACTCCGATATCGTATCAGTTCTCCATTTGTAAGTACATACGTAGATTGCATTTAGTACATACCACAATAAGCCACTCCTCCCCTTTCTCTCCCCCTTTCGTTCGATATCCTGCGTACATAAGTACATACGTTGAGATCGATTATATTACCGAGAGAACATCTCAACTCCGATCAATCGATTTCGATGAATTCTCGAGAACTCGCGAACTCTTTCGAATATTTCTTAGAAAACTGGTCACACGACATACGATCGATGCACCCTTGCTGCATCTTTGATACATCGTTGGCACGTATATCCGATGCATCTTGGATACGCGAACCGGGCTCAGGGGATGTGATTCGAGTGTCATGGATTTTTTATTTAAAGAGAGATAGAGAGAAGTGGGGAAGAGGGAGAGAAAGAAACAAAGATAAAAAGAAAGAAAATTATTGATTATGATTTATCAGCCGATTCACCTGAGCCCTGCATTACATTTTCTGATTTGGATTGAATGCCATGATTTTTTTTTCTTATTTTTCTTATTATTTCGATAACAAGAAAACCAAATTCGATATCTTTATATAAAATTTATTTAAATATTTTTCTAATTTAAAAGTTCGTTTTAAATCGATATGAATAAAAAGTTAGGGCAATATGTCAAGATATAGAGATCTTAAGTGATGCGTTCAGGTCAAGCAAGTGTGTATTTAATTTTCAGAGCAACCGACATTTAAGAGGTTCGACGATTCTAATAGATGATAATCGACGTGCACACAGGGATGCTCCTTATGCGTGCTTCTCAACAATCTAAGCCAAAGTAGTTTTCTAAGATCTTATACTCTTTCGTTTTAGCAAAAGGTTATTCTATAAAATATTTTTATTATTGCTGCATGTTCCTTAATTTTTCGTTTCATTAATCTCTTTCTCTTTCTCTTTCTCTCTCTCTCTCTCTCTCTCTCTCTCTCTCTCTCTCTCTCTCTCTCTCTCTCTCTCTCTCTCTCTCTCTCTCTCTCTCTCTCTCTCTCTCTCTCTCCCTTTCTTTTTCACAGTGATAAGAAATTATCGTTAAGTTTTGTAAGCTATATTATAATTAGTCGCACGTGTGTTTGAATGTATTATCTATATCTTATAATTTCTTTTCTTCTTTCTTTCTTTTTGATGAGGAAAAAATGCCTCGGAATTACTCTATCTTTATAGATCATTAATTTCTCTTTCAATAGATAACACACATTCGAGAGCATTCGCATGTCGAGGAGATGCATGCGATCAATTGGCTGGTACGTTGAGAACGATTTCTTCTTTTTAAAATTTCCATGTTTTTATACCGTGTATAAATTTTGCTTTACACTCCGCACCCAGTACATTTCGCATTGCTGATAACAAAACGACTAGTCCTTATAGTTTTTATCAACGTATCAGTTCAAAACATATTTTCGACTTAAAAGATCGATTCTTTTTAAAAATTTCTTTTTGAACATAATGACTTTCAACTTAATAATTTTCTTTATCCAATTGTGGGATGATTAAGAAAATAGTGTTTTCTTTGTACATCAAATTTGTTCTCAAGTATCCGATGTTGTAATAGTAGTCAGTTCATCGGGTATAGTAACTTGAATCTATCGATCGTAAGATATTACCTCTGATGAAACGATGGAGATCGATTCCATGATGCCCTGCAGCGTCGAGTATAGGGGGACAAATATTCAAATAATCTGCGGATTCTGCGGACAGGTCAACGGACAAGTATCGAGCACGTAAACGCATTTCGTTTTATTTCGTTTCATTTCATTTAGTTTCTGTTCGAGTTTATATATATACCTCTATGGTTGTGTATCGTCCAACCTCAAATTTTTCAGAGTCTACGCGTTAAGGGTGTAGTCAACCACACAATTTGATGGTTCGAAAAATTCATCAAAATTACTCTCTCTTTATAGTGAAAAAAAAGAGACGAAAGGTGATTTTAATGTACCTGCCTCGTAATGGCGCCTTTTTTCTTATTCGTCTTCTACTCTTTTATAATGGACATGCTCGATGGTTTTATACACACACACATGTTCTGCGTGTGTATATATATATATGTATATATTTATTTATTTATTTATTCATATATTTCTTCTCTTTTTTGTCGTTGTTCACACTAGAACGACTATGCTTTGATAACTTACGACAGGTCATTCGAGAGAACTGATTTTTATATCGATTATTTTCACGAATTTCGGATAAACCGAACGAATAAATGAAACAAAAATTAAATCGATTTTGTGTTTTAATTAATTTTTTTGTCCCGGTAAAATGCTGCCGATTTCCTCTTAAAAAAATAATCTCGTCAGTAAAGAAAGATGGACACCCAAATCCCAAGAAAAAAAAAAAAAAAAAAAAGAAAAGGAAAAAAAAGGAAAAAAAAGAAATAAGCGAGAAAAAATTTCAATATTTTCTTACATTTTTCAATCATAAGAAGAGAAAACGAAACAAATGCATTTCGTAGGTCATAGCGACTGGACTACTACTATGTTCATTCGACTCCAGTGCTTCGCGAGATGAAACGGAAAATGATATTAAGGGCATTATACTAAAGTTGCGTCATTTGCCGCTGTTCTCTCTCTCTCTCTCTCTCTCTCTCTCTCTCTCTCTCTCTCTCTCTCTCTCTCTCTCTCTCTCTCTCTCTCTCTCTCTCTCTCTCTCTCTCTTTCTTTCTCTCTCTCTACTTCTAGCTAGAACGAATGTGTACGGCTATAAAGTTACGAATGCAAACGTCTACTGATGGTGGGTTCTCTCTCTCCCAGCGGTCGTGACGAGATGCATAAAAAGGATTTTCACACGTATATATGCAGCGTTGGTCGTAATCACGCTGAGAAAATAGTCTACCGGCAGAGCGAGGGCACTCTTAATCGTTTAATCAAACGCATATTATTATCTCATTGAAAATCGGCCAATGTCGATGCTTGAGATCGTTCGTAAAATATTACTAAGAAAAAAAAAAAAGAAAAAAAAAAGAAAAACAACTCGTTTCGCTAATGTCCTTTTTTTTCTTTTTCCTTATCTATATATAGGGATTGTCCAGGAGTTGGCACATCGGCGGGTCCGGCCGGTAAGGAAGTTTCCTATCACGCTGGCGTAGGTGGAAGCAGCGTTGGATATAAACCGCCTCCGCAGCACAGTCCACAGTCGAGAGGCCCACCACCTCATTTCCCTCAGGAACCCGTCGGGCCAACGACCAATTCTTCGCCGCTTCACATCAGTATTTGCGGACAAGTAAAATATTCTTTAATATTTTATTACTCTTCGGTAAACTGCCTTATCGTTCCCGTTGGGGAAAAAAAAAAAAACAAGAAAGAGAGTAAAAGAAAAAATAATATTCCGTAGAAAAATCTTCATCGAAGAATAAGAACGCATAATTCGATTTTTATCTTGAGAAGTTTGTTACGAATGCGACGATACGTCGTTCAATCGGGCTTGTTTCTTATTGGTGAATATTATGTCTGACGTAAGCGTACCACATGACACGCACGGATGCAAATTTCTGTAAACAAATGTCAACAATGGATAATCAAGTTTTAAACGTCGTCGCAAACGCAAGATATCTTACTGCCTTTCAAGACACACGAAGTTCCGATTTTTATATCGGACGATTTTTGTTTCATGAAAACACATTTTCATTTCCTTGTTGCAGGAGAATATAATGCGTGGTCCTCTTCCAAATATGAGTCCTGGGCTTGCAGCCAGCGATGTGGACATGGAATACCGTAGAAATTCACAAGGTATAACTAACCTTTATTTCTAATCGATAAAGATCTTTATCTAATAAAATTTAGCATTTTCTTGATAGTTCCTTCGAGGTTTCTTGAATCTTAAGTGTATTACAGTATGCATATTTTTTCAGCCACAAACCAGTTACCACTGAGTCCTGTACAGATTCAAGCCTCGCCCGCTTATTATAGGCAACCTAGTCAGGATGATGGTAGAAAGGTAAACGAGACTAAGCATTTCGAGTTCAAAATGTTTTTCCAATTTTTATTAAATATATTATATATATATATAAATCGTTAATATAGAGACAATTGAACATAGAGAACCTAGATATAATCTGTAGGAAAGGATAAAATAATTGTAACTGAAGGGATAGACCAATCGTCTAACCGGTCGAATATTATTTTAGAGCGAATCTCCGTCTAGAAAACGTCGTCGGATATCTAGAAATGGTACGGTTTCCGGAATTGAAGTACGAGAAACTACACCACCCGCACCAACGCCACCTTTACACACGACCCCACCAACCTGGGAATTTTCATCGGCCTCACAGCGTCGATCTCCACGTAACCATATGTCTACTCGTGGTAGTCCTACAATGAGAAATCGTTATCAACGATACACGGATTCCTTTGGTCTTTCCTATCCCTTTATTCCTGGCCATAATCCCCATCCCACAATTCATAATTCCCATCATGGAATTCATGGTTCTCATCACAATATCCATAATTCCCATCATAATCTACATAGTTCGCATCACAATATTCACAATGCGCATCAAACGCATCCTCGACATCCATCTGGCACAGGACATCATCCTGCGCAAGGCGCTAACGGACCAGTAGTAGTTGATGTGGGTCAAGTCGGTGTCTCAGGTCTTGGTGTCGCTGTTAGCGGAGAACCATTGTGGCATCCACAAGCGACAAGTTATAGAATTCCTTGTCAGCTGCATGGAATTTATACACCAACTGGAGCGCATCCATTTGCACATTCGTGTCAAGTAAGTGAGAAAAAAGATTATAGATTTGTTTACATGTACGATTTATCATTCCTATGCAATATTTTTTATATGATAACGATAAACTGATTACCTTCATGTATAGAAATAAATGATATTTTTTAGGTAACGCATCATCATAATCATTATCCTGCTACTCATGCAACTCATCCTGGTCATAGTTTAGTAGGATCCATAGTTGGTGCAGCCTCTAGAGGGTATCCAACACCTGCAGGTGGTCCAGTTGCTGCTCTTCATCATGCACATGCACCACCTCCACCCGTCCATACTACTCATTATACAGCCCACCACCAACTCTCTCAGCAGGTAATAAAAGGAAGAACGTAATGAAAATATAATTATATTATAATTGCTAAGGCATCCTATTTATTTTTGTATTTATTTCTTTCAGAGAGAGGTAGAATTGGAATTAATAGAATCCCATCATCATCACAGAGTTGGAGCTACTGCCGGTGCACCGTTACCATTGCCACATTCGTATTCTCCTCCAGCTCTTACTCAAGTTACAACACCGTCTCCGATTTTCTTATCTGAGACGCGAAATAGTCAGTTAGAAATGATTCAGACAAGAACTCGTAGAGCAGCTTCGAACGTTCATACTCTTAGGCGACCAAGATCGAGTAGATGGAGAGGCACGCCTCCGTTACCACCTACAACATATCCAGGATTCTTGTTACATTTCTTGTAAGTTTCGAATCATATTAATTTTTAATATTGCTTATAATTTTTTTGGTGATAATCAGAAATATATAAAAACAAAATTTTAGAGCGATGTTCAGCAATCCACCTTTATCTCCATACAGCCATGCAGACTTGTCCTCGCCAGATTCAGCTACGGAAAATTACGAGGCTCTTCTATCCTTGGCGGAAAGACTTGGAGAAGCTAAGCCACGTGGTTTAACGCGTGCCGAGGTTGAACAATTACCTTCCTACAAATTCAATGCAGAAACGCATCAAAGTGATCAAACGAATTGCGTTGTCTGTATGTGCGATTTCGAAGCTCTACAATCGCTTCGTGTTTTGCCGTGTTCGCACGAGTTTCATTCGAAATGTATTGACAAGTGGCTTAAAGTGAGTCGAATGAAATTATTTAAAGATATTTTTCCGATTATATAAAATAATTAAAATTGTCTTTTTGTTTACAGTCAAACAGAACGTGCCCGATATGTCGCGGTGACGCAGGAGAATATTTTGGTAACAGCGGCACAAGTAGCGACTGACGCCGAGCTGCTCAAGTGCATTAGCGCCGATCTTCGTCATCGTCGCGGACGCTACTTCGCACAGAGCCTCCAGCCGTCATGTTGTTGGTTTGTGCAAATTTATGTTCATAAGCATTTTTGCCTTTTCTCCGGTGAAAGTGAAGCGTCGATTGTATTTTAAACTCCTGGAAATCCTTAGTGTCATTCGGAAAAGGTAAAACCTCTATTTCGAAAAAAAGGAAAGAAAGAAAAACGGAGAAAAGCGAATGCAACAAGAGATACAGAAAATTAATTCATTTCAAAATGTTGGACTCTTGTAATAGAAGGGTACACATCATTTTTGCTTGTTTTCAGGCGTTGTAAGTTAACAAGTTAAAGAGCGTAATTTAATGATACGTGTTGAAACCTTAAGAAAAAAAAAAAAAGGTTTTGCGAAAAAGTTATAAAACTATACAGTTTTGATTGGCAGAAAAATCTGTCGTTTGTTTATTTTATTCGGATTCGCTTCGATTATGGTTTAACGCTCGTTTGTTAGTTGTGTTGCGCTATTTTGTATTAATATATGTTTATGTACATAATATTTGTATACAGACAAATCAGCACTTTCCATTAACGTTCCATTTTTGTAATAGCTTAAATTCTGATCCTATTCTATAATTGTAAATAATTATATAAACGTCCGTATACATGCGTGCGTGCGTATAAAAACCAAGTCTAGGTCTTTGTTTGAAAACTTACCAAATGTAGGATAAATTCTTTTGCAATAAAAGGTAAGAGAGACATTTTTATTGGGCAAAGAAGAAACCGTAACTTCCTATTGTTAATGTTTTCTTGTCTTTGTGTAGGCCGGGTGATTATTTTTATTATATAAGGAATGTATGTATCTCCACCCATTGCGATATGAGTGCTATAGATTAAAAAGAAAAAAAAAAGAACTGTTGAATTGTCGCACCGATGTCACATAAAATAATTTATAAAAAAAAAAAAAATTTAGTGACCTCGTATATCTGATTACAAAGTCATTCCTCTCGCGGTGATTAACAGGCATCCCGTTGTTTTCTCTGTGTTGGTTCGATAAAATTTCTGTTATACGTTTTATTAAATATATATATAAATATATACATATATATGTATATGTGTATATATATATATATATATATATATATGAATATATGTATGTATATATATATATATAGTTATATATATATAAGTATATATATAGGTCAGCCTAGCCTCATAGATGTACAGGTAGATGTAAAGGTATGCATGTAAATTATTCCAACCGCGAGAGATCAACCAGCAAGATCAGAGAGAGAGAAAGAGAGAGAGAGAGAGAGAGAGAGAGAGAGAGAGAGAGAGAGAGAGAGAGAGAGAGAGAGAGAGAGATCCTTCAACAACAGTTATTCAAAATTGCAAGATATGAAAAAGAAATGAGAGTGAAAAGTATAAGGATACCGCTTCTGTTTCCTGCGCATCTACCTCTGATAGAAGATGAAACGAATTGATTAATATTTTTTTATACACACTTCTCATAAAGTATAAACATACCTATGTAATAAGAAGAAGCAACAAAAAGAAAGGGGGAAAGAAAATGTAGAGGAAAAAATCGAGTTGGCTGTAATTTTGGCATGTTCAATTAAAATTGATACTTTGAGAGATTATTATATCATCTATTTCATCATAATGAGTTGACGAGTGTTATAATAATCGAGTATAGCACGGAAAGGAAATGAGGGAAATTTATGTATCGTAAGAACAATGGTGCATTTTATAAAAAAGGAGAAAAAAAGAAAAGTTTTCGAAATGGGGATAGAACGTTGCCATTAAAAAAAATACACGCTTTTAGTTTTGTATGTGTATGTATGTAGGTATATATATATATATATATATATATATATATATATATATATATATATATATATATCAAACGCTTTTTCTATTTATATGTTTCGGTACAAAGGTGGATGAAGAGTTTTCAACATTTGTAGCACGTTTATGATTACGTTTACATTATACTCCTTAAATCTTCGAATGTATCGTCGAGTAACAAAAAAATACAGTCGAATAGGCATGATTTTCAAAGGCTGGTTTTTTTGTTTGAAATAACAAAACGTATGTACAATGAACTTTATCGAATATGTTTCGTTACGTTACTTTGTATTATTGGATCAGAGCGAAGTAAAACTGCCCGATAAAATCGTTTGGAAATACATGGTAAACGAATCGTCAAATGAAGGCTTTTCAAAAGTAGCAGAAGAGACAAATTTTGAAAATGGAAAAAGATCAAAGAAATTGCATGGAGCCAAAAAGTTTCTTCTCCGAATTGTGTCTATCATTTTAAAGATCAACACATTTCTACATGAACATTCTTGAATTTATAAAGATTTCTGCTACTGCTATAACTGACTCGTTAAATTATTAGTTCTCGGTATATACCATTTTAATCTATGAGCGTGCGTCTTTGAGAAATGCAAAGAAAAAAGAAAAAAAAAAGAAAAAGATAATAAGAAACAAAAAATACGAGAACTAAGAATCTCTTAGAACTAAGATCGTATCAGTAAATCTTCTTGATCTATCCTTCCACTTCTCATTGCGTGCCTTTACTATTAGTAATCGAAATACATACTATATCGTGAAAATTCGAAAAAGAGAAACAGAGAAAAGATATAAAAAGAACACAGAGATAGGCATGTGGTACCGTGCGATATCATAAACTGCTCGCACAAAAGGACGCTTGGAAAATTCATATATAAAGAGAAATAAATAAAAGGGGGGGAGAGAGAGAGGGAGAAAGAAAGAAAGAGAGAGAGAGAGAGAAAAAGACGGAAAATCAACTCGCGTAATCACAAGCATGTGTGTGCCTGTGTACGAGTGTGCGTGGTGTGCGTGCGTTGTGTATGGGTGTGTCAACCTGCGAAGTTGCATGACAAATATCAATTTTAGATTTATTTTTTAACAAAAGGCTGACGAAAGAAGAAAAAGAAAAAAGAAGATTGCTATCATCATTTGCAATTCACTTCATGCATATGCGTTTGGTTACTTTAACAATCTCTTGTAAAACGATCTATATATGTAGATGGTGCTGTGCACTATTATTGGGTGCTCCTGTTTCATATATTTTTTTTCTTCTTTCTTTTTTCTTTTTATTTTTGTTTCTTTTTTTACTTTTCTCTCTCTCTCTCTCTCTCTCTGTCTCTCTCTCTCTCTCTTTCTCTTTCTCTCTCTCGATTCATCCTCCTTTTCGCAGGTCGACACACAAAAGATAAAGATAACGATTTACTCCCATACGCGTGGTAATACTAGCCCGTACAAGAGAATCATACGTAAGTAGAATGTGTGTACTAATTTAGAAACGCGTCATATAATTACGGGTCTAACAGCTGACACGTAGCGTGTAGAGTACGGTAATCCTATCACAAAAATAAAATGCAATATCAAAAGGCATATGTGTAAGTGGCGATCAAAAAGCATAAAGATAGAAAGGAAAGTAAAGAAAAATCATAGAGGAAGAAATGAAAAGAAGAAAAAGAAAAGAGAGAGAGTGAGAGAGAGAGAGAGATAGAGAGCATCGTTAATCCTTTTTAGGCGCATAAAAACACATATCATTTTCCATAGCAACTCATAAGTTTTGTCTTTCTCATCCCTTCAAAAAAGTGATACAATTAGTAAAGAGAAAGCAGAGAAAGAGAGAGAGGGAGAAACCGAAGGGGAAAAAAAAGAAATTTGCTCGTGTGTTTCAAACTTATATTTTAAGCGTACGTACATACTAATACTACATAGAGAAACTTTCGAGACGAGGGACGAGTGCTCGACCGTAAAGATCTACCACCGTCAAAATTCTAATTGAATCTTAATTGAATATTAATGAACACTATTAAAAATTAGAATTTTACATGTATTTAAAACTCGTAACTAATTTTTTGTGGCTTTTTTGTTCTGGTTTTTTCTTGGTTTTTTTTTCTTTTTTTTTTTTTTTTCTTTTTTTTTGAGAAGGATTTCACAGTCATATCACTGTATGTACAGATAGTGCAAATAATTCTCAGGCGTACGTCATTCCTGGATTATTTTTTTTCAACAATGCGAAAAAGCTCTCAAGACTGGTGTCATTAAAATGAATGAATTTTTTCGGCTGCGACGATTTCATACCGTTCGACGCTTTGTCTCTCGATATGTTTAGATTCTAAGGCATAGTATTAATTATTATCCTTATAATTATTCAGACCTGGTTGACTGACTCAACTTTATGCTCGTTTCTCGCTTTAAGAAAATATTACTTTTTCCATTATCCAAGGTAAACATTAAACCGTTCATATTGTTTCTACTTGTGTATATATTAATTTTTACTTAAGCTCAAGTTCTAATATTGAAAGGAATAAGCAAGTTAAAGGAAAAAAGTGAGAAAAGGGAATAAATAATATATTTTTTGTTAGTTTTACTAGGTCTGACGTATATTTAAGTACACTTTACGATCAGCTTATCGATCATTTCTTTAAAAAATATTAAATATTATCGATTCCTCGATCGTTCGTTTCAACGAGAAATTTAATAATATTCAAATCCTGGTAAATTTATGAAAAAAGAAAAAAAATTTGCAAACGGTTTTCAAAATCCCTTTAAATTTTCCTACTATTTCTCATTCCAATTATAATCCTATACTCGAATCGTTGAGGATATTCGAGGGATCGACGAAAAGAAATAGTACCAAAAAGAAAAGAAAATTCTTCCGAGGTGATACGCGAGAGAATTGCTTTTTAAATAAGGGGAAAAAAAACTTGGACAAAAAGTAGTTTGATTACACGTACATACACGCCGAAAAATTATTGTTTCTGTGATTACATAAATATTTATTAGTTCATGATTAGAGAGACACGATAAGAGAATCTCTGTGCAAATCAAAATTCGAATAAAAATAGAAATGATCAGGAGATGAAAAATATCTTTATGAAGAAACGAAAGAATTAAAGAAAGAAAGAAAAAGAAAAATGAAACAGAATGAAAGGAGAGATCTTGACGAAGGGAGAATTTTGAACGAGAATCATATTCAGTGACCTGACGAGATAGAGGCTTATTTTTTCTTACTTCCCTCCGATTAAAAAAAAAAAAAAAAAAAAAAAAAAGAAATATATACGAATTCCTTCCGATCGGTCGGAGTATCGAATCAAACGCTGTTTACAAAATAAAAATTGTCCAATGGTCTCTCTTCGTTGGAAAGAAGCAAAAAAACATGAAAAAAAAAGAAACAAAAGGAAGAGGAATTAAATGAAACGTGGCTGGACCACGCTGCATGTTTGGAAATTATTCTTAACGAGTATGGTCCAGGAAAAAGAAAACATGATGCTGATTAAAAATGTCTTCGTCCTCCTTTACGCGTTATTCTTGTAATTAAGCTACGCAGTAATAATAATAATAATAATAATAATATTAATAATAATAATAATAATAATAATAATAATAATAATAATAATAATAATAATAATAATAATAATAAAAACATTAATTAATATTCTCATTTGTTGCTTTTTCGAGAGAGCGAAATCTTTTTTTTATTTTTATTTTTTTTTTATCTTTTTTTTATTTATTTTTTTTTTTTTTTAACTTTTTTTTCATTTGCTCGTATCGATGGTGCTTAATTTAGCGCTTTTCTCTGTAGAGATATATGTTTCGTGTACGATTCTAAATGTTTAAGTATTCTTAAGGATATAGAGAGAGACTGTAATTTAAATAGCAAAAGAGAATAAGTCAAGGAAGTTTTGAGAGAGAAAGAGAGAGAGAGAGAGAGAGAGAGAGAGAGAGAGAGAGAGAGAGAGAGAGAGAGAGAGAGAGAGAGAGAGAGAGAGAGAGAGAGAGAGAAAGAGAGAAAGGGAATCGGTAGACTGCGTTCGAGGACATATATCAAAACCCCATTTGTATTATATTCCGGTCATTGTAAAATAGAAAAATACAACTTTAATACTTAATAGCCATTTAATTAACGCAAAGTAAACTCCGAAGCTCGAGCTTTATAAAATATGTGAGAAGCATGCACGTTATATACACAGGTCGGAACGTCGAATTCTATTTTGTTACCGAAAATCGCTTCTAGATCCCCTTCTCTCCTCCCCTCCTCCACCACTTCCCCTTTTATAAAATACTTTATAATAACAAAATTCCATCGCCGATGATAATATGTCACCGTAATTATGATTAATATATATATATATATATATATATATATATATATATATATATGTATGTAAGTGTATTTGATAATATTACATAAGAAGAGTAACGATTGTCGCTGGTATCGCAACCAACCGTCGTTTTTGTTATTAATTTGTCGCATGAGGAAAAGAATGTATATATTATTCGCGTTTATAAACGGGAGACTTCATCGTTTTTGATTTATCTTGTAAAATTAAGTTTTTCCCCTGTTTATCGTTGTTATATCTCATCGATGTTAATCATATATATATATATATATATATATATATATATATATATATATATATATATATATATCTATTACCAGCCGCTTATATGAAATACTAGTAATACGTTTATTACGTTTATCATTAACTACTACTTCGTATCTCTCGCTATTGTCCAGGTAATAGACTTATTAACGCAAACCGTATATTCTCAGTGTTCATAGCGCCACGTGGGGTGACTGATTTTCTTTTTTCAAAGCTAAAATGCGCCGCAAAAAGAAATGATTAAAAAACCTTTTGTACGTAACCCAGACGCAATCATAACGATGCCAAACATTACATGTTATCACATTATATAATTATTATTATTATTATTATTATTATTATTATTATTATTATTATTATTATTATTATTATTATTATTATTATTATTATTATTATTATTATTATTATTATTGCATTATTATATTATTATTATTATTATTATTATTATTATTATTATTATTATTATTATTATTATTATTATTATTATTATTATTATTATTATTATTATTATTATTATTATTATTCCTATTAAACAAATTACACGGTTTTTACACATTAAGTTTTTCTTCAGTTCGTACTTTTCTTCACACACATTCTTTCACGCTTCACAAAGCATCCTTACCATAATCCCAAATCGAACAATTCGTTCAGTAATATTCCTGTCAGTAGAAAACGAATAGAACGGGTCTAGAATTATGTGTGGAAGGAAACGAGATAAGAAAAGAAAAAAGAACAAAAAAACAGAAATGCAAAAAACTCAGTAGAGAAATACGATCGAATCGTATCCATTCGTTTTGATTTCCACGGCGTTATTTGAAAAACGAAGAGGCTTATACAATGTATTTCGCGAACCTAATCGACGTTCTTTAACCATAGTGGGCACCCTTCTTCCGCGTTTGCCCTCTCATAACCCTTCGGTACTCATAGATTTGCTTATGACCACGAGAAAGAGAGAGAGAGAGATAAGGAAAGAGAGAAGGAAAAAGAAAAAAGAAGAGGGTTGGACGTGTAGTGAAAAGAGGAGGTAAAAAATATGGGGAGAGAAAGAGAGGGGGTACAGAGGAAGGTAATATCTCATAGGCGTCGAAGGGTTGGATCGTGAGAAGAGTAAGAGAATGTTAACGTGACTTTAAGGTGGATATGACCATATCTCGCGAATGTAGAAAGCCGACCAACAGAACGATCTATCTCTCTTTAAAGAAGCTATCTCCGATATGTGCGCTTAAAGCGAGCTTTCCCCTTTAAGGAACGCCCCTATACCTCGCTCGTACTTATGGAGTACATGCTTATATTATGTATAGGTGTATTGCATGTGTATATGCAAGCTAGCTTTAGAGCAGACTTCATTCTCACCCTCTGTACCGTTGATTTCAACCCTTATTCTCGTAGCTTCTCTCTCTCTCTCTCTCTCTCTCTTTCTCTCTCTCTCTCTCTCGGTCTTTCACATCCCTTCCTTTTTCCGTTCTTCATTTTCTTTTTTCGTTCCTCATTTTCTTCTATCCTCGTACTTTCCTCTCTCCTTCCCTTCCTCCTTTCCTCCCACTCTCTCTCTCTCTCTCTTCCTCTTTCTCTCCCTCCCTCCCTCCCTCTCTCTCTCTCTCTCTCTCTCTCTTTCTCTCTCTCAGTTCAGTCATATACTCAGAATGCTCGATTTACCCTTCAATGTTAACTTGCCATCTCCGGCTAGCTAGCCAGTCGGAGATAGGCAAAGGCGTGCGTAGGCGTCCAGCATTGGAGCCAAAATCAATTCGCCCGACAAAATTAACGCGGTAGTCGTGGCTAGGCACCGAGGGTTGTGGGCTGTCCACCGGTATATCCAGCTAGTAGTACCAGCAGGGGTGGTACTGATGGTGATAGTGGTAGTGGTAGTGGTGGTAATGGTGGTAGTTGTCGTTGTGATGGTGGTGGTGGTAGTGGTGGTGCTAGTATTCACTCTGCCAGTTCGAAAGCTCCCTCGCAAGCTCCGGCGCAAGCACGGTTCCGCATGGGAAAGCTTCTCCGCTCAGCTATATTTTCTCTCTCTCTCTCTCCCCTCCCTCTCTCTCTCTCTCTCTCTCTCTCTCTCTCTCTCTCTCTCTCTGTGTATAGTCATTGATTTTGGCTTTGTCGAATTTAAACTCGTTCCTTTATCGATCTTACGCCCGAGAAAGGGAGAAGGAGAGAGATATAACGACTTTCCAGTCTCATTTATCAAAACGCATTTATTTCCTCTCAAATCCATGTTGAAAATCGAACGAAGTGTGCTTTGAGATTAGAATCTACCCATTTTAAGATTCAACCCATATCGTTCGTTTCTTTTTTTCTTTTTCCTTCTTCTATTGGTTTTTTTCTTCTTTTAGGATCAAATTTCATTTTTTAGCTTGATCAGAACGAACGATCGTTATTTCCTTTTAGAACTTTCAATATATTTTAAATAAAATGAAATACATACAATACGAATCGAGGTTTACGATGGACAGACTTTGCTAATACAAGCCTTCTAACCGCACCTGACTAAGGTGCGTTAACTTCATATATCGAAATAAAAGGGGCAGGGAGAAGGGACAATATGCTGTGACAGTGTGCCGTAAAAAGGTGTACGATTTTTAAAGAGGATTTTGTCTGCGAAGAGAAAGAACAATAAGGCAAAAGAAAAATAACTTTTTAGGGAGCTCGAGAGAATAGAAAAGAGACATTACAAAAAGCTTCTGACCTTTAAATATTTCAATATATAGAACCCACGTAAATATTTTTCGCCATTCTCATATTCGCTCTAACTTCGTATAAACATATTAAATGTGTACTAGCGAACACGAAGAGACTAAAATTCCGTAAAGGGTCAAACGAATCAGTTTATATATTTACACGAATGATCTCATTTTTTTTATAAAAATAATATATTTATCTACGTATCTATCTATCTATCTATCTATATATATATATATTGTATAAATAGGAAAAATGAAAATATTCCAGGTCGATAATTTAATATCATGAAAATTTTGCACATATCTTGTTAAAGAAAATTTTATTAAGTATTTAATATAGTTTCGTGAAATTTACATTAATTGTTCTTAGATATAATTTTGTCTCTCTTTCTCTCTCTCTCTCTCTCTCTCTCCCTCCCTCTCTTTTTGTTTATCTCTTCCTCTATTTCTCTTTCTATTGTGGGAGTGCAATTAAATAGATAATAATCGATGTTCTTTACGGAATTTTCGTCGAAGTTTATAATCAATTAACAGGAGGAGCAGAAATGCCAATGATTAGACAAAATAATAGGAAAAAAATATCTTTGGAATTTCCTAAGATAAGCTCTCGAAGAATGAGAGCAGATGCACATACCGTTCTAATACCATTAACGATCAAGCTTAATTAGTAAGAGCCGAGAATAAAGCGGAGATTCTAAAATCGATTGCGATAAAAACAAAAAGAAGTATATACTTTCGCCTAATAAATACAACCGACCTCGTTTACATTACGATGTTCCGCGATGATTTTATTCGTACAATAATCGGCGATTTATTAAGAGAAGATTGAAAGAAGGAGGAAATACATACGTTAAATAATCTGTGAATTTCACTTCTCGTTGTAATAAAATAAATGGCTGCTTTTGTAGTCCTCCTTCTTCATGAACAACAATAATAATAAGCAACAACAGCGATAACAATAACAACAAAAAAGAAAGAAAAAAGAAAATAAATAAAAACATTCGCGAGGATAAACGTAGGGTATAAGGATATATGTACATGTATTTAACACGTACAATGTACAGAAAGCAATATATAAATATACACATACATATATACGTAAACGATACATACACGTACCTACTATTCTCGAGCTAAATCATTACGTTTGCCACTCGATTGTAAATTTCTATAGAATGTGCTTTGTAAGAGCGTAACTGCTGTGCATAATGTATATAACATACATACGTATATTAAAATTATATATGAGAATGGTGTATGTGAAATGAAAGAACGACGATGGAAATCAGAAACTAGAAAAAAAGAGAGAAAAAAGAAAGAAAAGAAAAATAAATAAATAACGGGGCGGCAAAAAAAAAGGGATAGGAAAGAAAGAAAGGACGGAAGGAAGGAAGGAAAGAACAAAATTATTGTCCGAGGAAATCATGTGTCTTACATATGGCAAATAGAACTGAGAAATTAATAAGCGATATTTCTCTTACAACTCGATCGGTTGCAAATAATAGGTGTATTCCTCTCGTTAAAAGGAGTAAAAATGTAATAGTTTCATAATTGCCAGAGAAAAGATATAGATTACAAAGTCACGAGGTCTGCTTTGTCTTGTTATAATCAAATACTTTATATTATGTAGTACAGATTGTCATTAAACGTGTGAAAGCAAACTTGTATTATTTATACGATCACTTTCTCTGTTTTTTTTTTTTTTTATTTTTCGTTTATCTAGGTTTTGGGCACAAAAGTTCGAAGGTATGCAGTTTTTTCTTTATTAATTGTTTCGCTTTTTTTTTTTAAGACGAAACGATTTTCCCATTTTAATCAGACTATAAGAAAAATACAAAAATTGTTAACAATAACGCAAGTAAATATTCGAAAGAGAATTAACAAGATTTAATAATCGAATATATATATTAATTTATTAGTAACCGTTTATTAATTGTAAACGATGTTTAACCTGTAATATGTATGTAGCTTTTTTGAATACGTTATTAAATTATTCTTTGACAATATCCATCTATACTGTTTTACGTAATAAAAACAGAATGTATATATTATTGCAAGTACGACATGTAAATAAGCATAGCGTGGAATACTTCAAAAGATTCTACGTTTATTTTTCACTTTCGATTGTAATATTTTTTTGCGTCTTGATCTTCTGTAAATAATTACATAAGGAAATTGTTCTTAGCATGGAAAGTAGGTAAGATAAAAATTAAGCGATACGTATGTATGTGTGAAGTATATTTTTTTTATTATCATTTTTTTTTTATGATATAAATTCAAAAAAACAAGATACAGGTAAGTGTTTTTTAAAAATTTGATGCTTTTATATATTTCCACGTAATTTTGTAGAATTTGATACTATTTGTAATGTCTACATGTGTTCTTAATAATATTTTAACTACGATATACAATGTATTTTTTTAATTAATATACTTTGGTACAGGCTTGCGCGCTTACTATATACAAGTTAAATATTATATACAAGACTTAAAAAAATATTCTATTACTTTATAAGTTATTAACAAATTTCACAATCATATATGATTGCAATCATATTCTTAAAGTAATAAAATAAAACAGATAAAAATTTCATGATATATGAAATAATAAAATAATGAATACGATGATAAAACATTTTGTTAAACTTATAGAAAGGAATCTGTAATATATATCATATAGAAAATCTAAATACAAATTATTGGCATCATTTATTTCATTTGTTCTTTGATCAAAGTAATTATATTAAGTTAAGATATAATGTGACTAGATGGTAAATTGATTTTTTATATAAAAGAAAATTTGTTAATGACGATATTTAAAACTGCAATGGACTTTTGGATTATAATTTGTTTCGATTAAAAGGACTAGATAATATTTTCATTCTAGATATATAAGTTGTGACATGGAGTTTTTACATTTTTAAGATTTTTCGTTTTTTCTTCTCGTTTCTTACACATTTAAAAAAAAATTGATTACTATATAAAAATCAACTTATTACGATAAAGTAATCCAGTGCATTAAGTTTTTTCTTGCTTAAAATAATGTTATGAGTAACGCTCATTCTTGTAAAAAATTTGTCATTTATATATTAAATTTTAGACTTTTCGTGCCTTTAAAATATAGCAATCGTCAATTAATATTTGTTCGAACAAAATTTTGTGTTTTCAAAATCTAATTATTAATTAAATAAATAAAAAAAAATTATATGGCAATATTTCTAACTCGTCAATTGTCTTTGTTGATTTTGTATTGTTAACTTCGCTATTTCTGCACCTAAAGTATTAATACTATCCTACAAAGAACAAAAAAATACATATATATATAAATACATTAATTACCTTTAATTGTATATATAATGCATTTCAATTACCTTCAAAGCCATATTTTTGAACAATGTATCTTCAACAACGGCGTATAATTTTTGATTCATTTCTAAAGAAAGTTTTAAAGTCATGTTGTCATCTGAAACTTTTTGACTGTAAACAGATGCCATTATACCTCCATTCTTTGCTAATTCCGCCTATAGTTTATATGAAAAGATAAATACAGCATTAATTTACATATAATAGCATAAAAACATATTGTAGAATTATACATCTTGTACTTATTGAAATTATGAATTATGTAGTTAATATAAATTGAAAATTTAATCCTACATGTAACTTACAGTATTTTTCCTGCTTTTGATATGCTATAATGACAAACATAAAAGGCATACTATATATATTAGCATGCTTTAATTTCTAAATATTATTTAAAGTACTTTTACTAAATTGGAACAAAGAAAACCTTTTAAAATATTTTAGATGCAATGACAATGAAATTATTATAAAATTAATTAATTACCTTGTATCTATCTCTTTCGTTACTACCCATGGCACCAGAATTTTCGTGTAAAATATAATGTTGTATTATCTTTGTTTTCTTTTGTATTTCTTCGACTAATGTTCGTGTATGTTCTTCCAAGAAATCTATTTTTTCTAATTTTTTTGCATTATCGTTTTGTAACATCACGATACGATCCATTAATAATTTTTTAGCAGGTTCAATTAAATGAATACAATTTTCACCATTGGTACAATTATCAGATAAGGCACCATTCACTGTTTCACCTATAACAACACATGAAAAAATTAATCAGATTAAAAGTCGATATTAATAAGCAGAAACCAATAATATAATGTTAAGAAAAAACAAATAATATAAAACTATGAAACCTGTATTTAGGGATGTATTTGAATCAGTCCTTGATGCAACATTCATTGAATTACTAGGTGAAGATAATTGAAATGCCTCCAATTTTTTTCGACACTGCTGCAGTTCTCGCGTTATTTCTTTCATATTTCTTTGTTGTTTTCTCTTAAGTACTGCATTTTCCCCTTGACTATCCTCTAACTTTTGTGTTAAGTTTTGAACAAGTTGTGTTTGTTCTGCCACGTGTTTTGCTAAAATTTCACATTCTTCTAATCTTCTTTTTTGTTCAGATATTACATTGTCTTCAAGCAATTTAGTTTTATTTTTTAATTTATTCACTTGATCGCGAAGTGGACCTTGTTCTTCTTCGAGCTGTTTAGTTTTTGTTTCAAGTGCAGTAAATTCTGATTGAAGACATACGTTTTTATCTGTTAACTTTTGTGTAAAATCTAACATAGCAGCCTCGCGCAAACGACATGCATGCATATCAGATTCTAATTCATTATTTATTAAATGCAATTTTTCTGATTCAGTATTCGTAGATTTTAGATTTTTCTCTGCTCTATGTAGTCAACAAAATATTTGTAGATATAAATAATTTTTACATAAAAAGTTGTTATTTTTAAATCATTAAATATAAATACTTACTCTTGTAATTGGGATTTTAATACTTCAATTTGTGAAACTCTTTGCAACAAATCAATAATTTCCGTTTGTCGTTGATCCGCTAGAATCTTCAAATTATTAAGGGTATCTTCGTATTCTTGCTGTTTTTTTTCATAGTCTTGTATTTTTATACCAAGTATATTGTTCTCTTCAATTAACACTTGCTGTCTGTGCAATAATGTTTCAACTTCTTTTTGTAACTGTAAACATAGCATCTCCTTGTCTTCGGTTACATATCTTTCTAAAATTAAACGTGCTTGTTGCTCTTTAAGCTGTTGATCCAATGTTATAGCTTTATTTTCTTCAGACAATTGAAATTTTCTAATAGTTTCCTGTGTTTCTTTACGTACTTGTTCACACTCCTCTTTCATTTCATTAATTCTACTCTATAAAATTAAATATAACACGACAAATAAATGTAACCGAAATAAATATAACACAAAACATAACTTAAAGTACAAAAATCTTTTTTAACAATATTGAAGTTTTACAATCTATTTAATATCTTTTCTTACCAAAGCTTTATCAAGCTTTTGCTGTGTTTCTTTTTGTAAGTCCATTTCCGTTTTTAATTTATTTTGTGACCACTTGAGTTTCACTTCTTTCATCTGTAAATCTCCATTAAGTCTTTCAACTTCTTTCTGAAGATCACCTATTTCACGGCATTTCCCATCCAATATATTACATATTCTAGTCCTCTCTCCTTGAGCCTGTCGTAATTTATTCTGCAAGAGTTCTTGCTCTTTTGTAATATCTTTCAACCTACGTTCTGCATATTCCCTTGCCCTATTAAAGATACAATATTTAAAAAAAAGCTCTCCTTTGTCAACTTTTTTTTCAAATATTTCTGTCACAGACAATATACCTTTGTGTATCAATCAATCGTTTTTCACTAACTGCATACTTTATTACCATAGATTCCATTTCTTTATTAGCAGCAGCATGTTCTCTTTTCAATATGTCTTGGGTAGCTAATGATGCGCGCAATTCAAATGTTAATCTATCTACAGTTTTTTCTAATGTCTCAATTTGTATTTTATAAGGTTCTCCACTTTTCTCCGCTTCCAATATGTTATTTCTTGTTTTTAAAGCTTCTACTTCTTCTGATAATTTTGTATTATTATCTTTTAATTTAGCATAATCTTTCAGTAATGTTAAGTATATAGGATGCTCCAACAAATTTTTTTCATGAGAACTTTCATTATTAACTGAGTGATTTTGACACTCTGTTAAATTTTCTTGCAATATTTCACCTATAAAGTATTTACAATTAGTAATTGAAATGAAAATACAATAGTATATTAAAATAATCATTATGTTTACCATCTGTTGTCATTAAAGCTTCTGTTGGTTGGGTTGTAATATGTTCTTCAGAATTGATAAATTTGGAATTATTTTTAATACTTGTTAATGTACCATCAATTGAGTCAATAGAAGATGAGTTGAACATTGAAGAAACTTGATATTTTGAATTGTTCTCATTCAATAGGTCTTTTTGTTCGCCATTTTTGCTCTGTTCCGTTATGGATACAACTGGTGTATTTATGATTTTTGTTACTGTATCACATTCTTTGGGAGGCATTAAACATTTTGATGATAACTCTTTTTTTACAGAATCCCCATCTATATTCTTCTTCTCATTATTATTTGTATATCCCGAGGTATATTTCATAGTTAAATGTTGCGGTAACAATGCTTTCTCCATTATATTTGTGGATTTTTCTGTGATAAAATTCAGAAAATTTCGACTTCTATTTATAAAATGTGCATTAGATTGCACTAAACTCATTCGATTTATTGGCAGTGGTATCCTTACAAGTCTACTATCATCATTCAGAGTTGGTCGATATATGGAAGTAACATCTACTTTTCCTTTTCCATTTGAAACTTCTGATGATCGTAATTTAGTTTGCTGTTTAAATTCTTTTTCTGTACTTTCTGACAAATTTGGTAAAACATGTTTATTTATATGTTCCATATTTTTATTAGATTCTTCTTTCGATGCTATATTCATTTCTACTACTTTTGTAGAATCATCATTATTATTTTGCAAACTTGTTAAAATTTTTTTATTTATTGGTTCATTCAATGCCAATGAATCTAAATCTTTTATTGTCGAAGAATCATGAGCAACATTAGTAATTAACGACTGTTTGGTTGTGGGTATTTCTAATTTAATATCATACACATTATCTTCACATATGTTACTAGTACCTGTTTCAGTCCCAGAAATCTTATCCATATTTTTATGCGAATGATCTATATACAGTGAATTATTGGAAGATAATTTATGAAAAACTCTTTCATTTGAAAGATCAATATTCATTGACAATGATGAATTTTCATCTTCTTTGTTTGGAATGCTATTTATATGTACACTTGTTTCATCCACATTAATACTGATCCTATTTAATAATAAATTACTTTCATTTGGATTGTTATCTTTTCTTAACGATACTAGATTACATTCAACTTCTACTTTATCCTCTTTAGAATAAGAATTCTGATTTTGTAAACTGCTATTCTGTTCTATATTTTCACTTAATGGCAGCAAACAATTTTCTGTTAAACAAACTGAATGAAATAAGCTATTAATACCTTCAATATAATATATTCATAAACAAATTTATGAATTAACTAAAACTAGTTATATTGCATACATGCAAATACATGATACAAGATTATTTTTTTTAATTATCAGAGTTTTTGATATATGTATACCTTCTGTCGAATCATTTTTGGATTTACTTGTAGAATCGGTATTATCAAACTTATCTCCATTCGAGTACAAATCTAACTTCTTCGCGTCCATTTCAAAAAATTCACTTTTATTTTCTTTAAATTAAAATGGATTTCAATTAATTCTGTTGAAATTTCTCGATTGAAGCACGATTGCACCTTGTAGTTTTTAAAGAATTTGGATACGTGGCGATACTTGAACGCAAAAAGAACCTCTGAGCAGAGAAAGTAACCTAAAATCTGTAACATTTAACTGTCAACGTATCGACATGTTGCATTAGTTGCATTCCAGCATTACTATACATCTTGAAAACATTCGGCAAGTTGCAATTATACGATCCATGCACATTGTAGATATCGATTATTACCGATAATCGCAATTTTATCGAAATTGTGTTATAAGATAGAAGCGAGTAAGATCAATATAAGCAAATAATTTTTTTTTGAGATCACGCTTTGATCTTAATAATTGCTAATTCTATGGCATCCTTAAAAATTGAACTTAGTGCTGACACGTGTTTATACATATTTAAATAAAAAACTATTATATTTATAATATTTAATATTAAAAGTAATTTTTTGAAAATGATCGTCGACGACATTAATGAATGTGTATTAAAATTAATAAAAGATATTCATTACGGGTAAAATTTTTATCATTCTAACCTTAAATATTAAATGGACTAAATAATTGGTACATCTTTATATTTCAGAGATATCAAAGGAGCTTACAATATTGTTAGTGCTACTGTTTCTGTTCTGAAAGATATTATCAGTCATTCAAAATGGGATACTGCAAAGTAGGTTTTATAGTAAACGTTATGTTATATATTATATATCATGTATTATGTTATATATTATATTATATAATAAGTATTTATATGTGATAAATAATAGCTCTTTAATAATTTAAATGTATTTTATTATGTAGAAATCTAATGGATATTATTACAAAGAATGGAAAATATTTGATCGAATCAGTTCCACTTGAAGCTTCAATCGGAAATATGGTAAGACGTATATTACTGATAATTAGGGAAGAATATAGATCAGAGCTTAAAAATAGAACAGAAGAAACGGATCCTCAGGAATCATTACATAAAATTCTTACGGCTGAGCGTGATCAAGACACTAATTATGATATTTTAGTGCTTTCTCTTAAATCAGCTCTTATCGAACATATAAATGAATTTGAGGTGGAACTAGAAACATGGTAAGTTAATATGATGCAATTCTTTGTTCAATTGTAAATACTTAAATATTTTATTTTATTTTATTTTATAGTTCAGAAAATATTACACACCAAGCTTCAGAACACATTCATTCCAATGAGATTATAATGACTATTGGCAAATCAAATTTAGTTGAAAAGTTCTTTGAGAAAGCTGCTACAACAAGAGCTTTTGAAGTTATAGTGGCTGAAGGAGGTCCATCTTTAAGTGTAAATATACATTTGTTTAATAATAATATTTAATGATTAAGTAGTTACACATTTTTATTATAACAAAGTTACTTATTATTTAAAGGGTCATGAAATGGCAGTTAACCTTGCAAAAGCTAAAATTAAAACTACTTTAATATCAGATGTAGCAATTTTTGCAATGATGTCACGTGTAAATAAAGTAATCATTGGTACTCATACTGTCATGGCTAATGGAGGATTAAGGGCAATTTCTGGTTCGCATACAGTTGCACAGGCTGCAAAGCATTATTCTGTACCTGTAATGGTGTTACTACCTTTATATAAACTTTCACCACTTTATTTATGCTCACATGAACAGGATGGATTTAATCAACATATTTCTCCTACGCAAGGTGTATTAGGTGGTGCTAATGAACCTCTCATGGAAAGAATTCATGCTTATAATCCGATGTTTGATTATGTACCTCCTGATCTTGTCACATTATTTATCTCCAATACGTAAGTTATTCATTTTATTAATTATAGTTTGATAATGCAGCATACCATATGAAATTTATTCTTGAATTTCAGAGGTGGAAATGCACCATCATATATTTATAGATTACTTAGTGAGCTTTATCACCCAGATGATTATGAACTATAACTTTACAGTAATTTAGAATATTATAATAACAAGAATGAGTTAAATTACTCGTGAATCATTAAGGCAATTTTTACAGAAATGTTAAATCTAAAATTTATATAAAACGCATAAGAGAGATTCTTTTATAAAAGTGATTATAAAACGCATTGTCCTAAATAGAGGATTTTTATATAGATATAATCTGCCTTTGTACTAATGTAAACAATTTTAATTTTATCAAAAGATACTGAAACGGATATGCAGTAGAATATATCCTAAAACGATGTATTTATATTACAATGATATAAAATTTTTTAACAATCCATATATATATATGTGTGAGTGTGCTATACATATGAATTCCAATTACTTCCATCTTCAGGTTGCAAAGAATTGGTAACCAGTAAAATAACATCAACGATCCACCATACTCCAACACCACCTACTGTTAACAATTTACCCACTGCAGTTCCTGTTTGACCGAGACAAAATCGATCCATGCCTAATACACCTAACAATATGCTATAAAGTAATGTAGTGACAAAAAAATGTTCGCTGTATTTTATACAAGGAACTCCTTTACGAAAAAATGTTCTTGGACCAAAACATTCTATATCTGGCAATACAGTACAGAATACTTTTGTTTTTTCAACATCCTCATAGCGCGATCCTCCAAACTGAAAGCAAAATATTTAAACATTGATGGATCTTTAAGAAATTTTCTTTAATCTTGTATTCAGATCTATACCTTCACACAACCGAAACCTGTTTCCTCTTTTGCAGTTTTATTTCCTTTGTGATCAACTGGATCTTCACATTCTATAAATTCCTTTGGACTGAAAAAAGTATGTATTTTCGATAAATCTTTGTTTATCTTCGACTGATTAACAATGAAATTAATACATCAATTATTTCAGATCATTTAGTATGTACAATCCGTATACTCACAGAAATTTGCACAATATCAAAGGTCCCTCCGGCTTATACTCCTGTTGTGGCTCTGTGCTTTTATTTGTCGCCGTAACTACCAAGCATTCGATCAGATTCCAGTAAAACCCAACAAGGACGAAAAACGTAAGGTCTAACCTCATTTTGTCAAATATAACATCTTAATCGCATCGTCGTACGAGTGTACACGTTTTTGTTAGAAGGATAGATTATTTATGAGCTACGTTAAGAGAAAAAAACTAAAATCAGTGTAAGCCCCGAGATAAATCGTTTCTATTACTTTTCTCTTATTGACCTTCGCGACATTTTTCTTTTCATCTCTTTTCATTATATTAGAAAGTAGTTAAGAATAGAGAAAAACATCCCTTCGATACGACTTGCGTTCGATAAATCGTTCCGTGGAGTAAGGTTAAGTTATGATTGGTAGTATTCGTCTGCCATTATTTTACATCGACCAATCATCATGCTCTTCCATCTCGAACTAGATCACGTGTTTGCTCTCTCTCACACGCAACTAGTGGCTCCCCAAAGGATGCACACCCAAAACGCTTTTGTTTTGTCAGTCGTGCGGTACGTGCTATCTGTATAACTAGTTGGTGACTGTCTTCGTCGCTGGATTGTTCGTCTGCGAGAGCTTGTACGACACGAACGAAGGGTTTCGCGTCGTCTTGACTCGTCGAGGGGCATTCTTTCTAATACGACGAATTCTTTCGATCATATTACAGTGTTTTTATGTACACCAATATGCGCGAGAGAGAAGAGTTTTATAGAGGTTGTTCATCAGGACAATCTAGTCAAGCACCACCACCAACAGCCAGAGCACTTGGTTTGGATGCCTTGCATGGATTGTGTAAAGAAATTTATCCGGACCAACCTAATCCTCTCACTGTCACAGCTGTTGTGAAATATTGGTAAGAATTTTCTAACCAAAAATTTTTATTAGTGAAGAAGTAACATAAAGACATCGTTGTATTTTTATGTTGTACCAACTCTAATTTACGTCAAATGAAACATTCATTATATTTAATTAGCGTTAAGATACATTATACGCTTTCATACGTCGTTGATCTCTCGTAATTCACGAGAATATTAATGTCGAGTATTGTTTTGAAAAGTTGTATATATACGACGTCAACAGGAAGGGGCAAAGGAGTTAAAAATACTACGATTCTATGTTATATCATTGTTATATTTTATACATTGTTCGATATTCACGATAATAAGATTGTTATTTCAACGATATTAATTAAATAGAAACGATAACATTGAAGCATCTAATTAAATGATTTTACGTCGATAAATAGATCGATGATTACCGATAATCAATCGATCACTACCATCTTGATGATAGCAGCGCCACCATCTAATATAATTGATTCGTACGAAAAAAAAAAAAAATAATTCGAATTGCGTTGTTGGATAGTTTGGTATGCGTCAGAACGAAAATGCCAACAGTTTAAACGTCATGGACGAGGAAAAGGGTGGCTTATATTTAGCCACCCTTCGTTTGTCATGTATATACCAGTCTAGCCCGGATGTACAATCAAATAAATCGAATTTCCTGTGTACTTATTCGCAGGTTGGGTGGTCCTGATCCTCTCGACTATATAAGCATGTACGAAAATCCTGGCTGTCCCGAACTAGGCGTGCCACCGCATTGGCATTACGTGAGGTAAGTATCGAATTCCTTGTTATTTCTTTTGTAAGAATGTTTCTTAATATTTACGAGAAGATTCTGTTACAAATACAAATGTGGTCGTTAAAAGATAACGTTTAAAATGTTCGTAAAACATTGTTATATAAATTATATTATCATATCTATTTATTTAGGTACTTATTTTAATTTTTCCCTCTCTCGTTTCGCCTTTTAATTCTAAGTACTTCAATCATAAGATAAATCCGCAAAATTTATTCATAGATTTTATTGTAATTTAAAAATAATCAGAATCGACATATTAGCACTTTTATTTATCTTCTTTTAGCCTATAACATTTGTATTCTTCTTGTTATTCAAACTGATTGGATTAAAATCATCGTTCCGTCTAGTTTTTGCGAATAGTTATTTCGACTCGAAGAAGGGAACGTTCCTCTCCGTTAAGAGAGAAACATCCATCGAACGAAGCGATTCATTTTGCTCTCATCGCTCAGCCACATGCTTCCTTTTCTCTTCTTCGAGGCATCATTCATTCAGAAAAGACAGCCCTTCGTTTTTTGCGCCATAGGGGAAGAGACGCCGAGCGAAAGAAAGAGAGAAAAAAAACGGGAAGTCGGGCATTCGTTAATGTCACCCTGTTTAGGTAGAAGTGTGCCCGTGTCTCTTTGTACGAGTCCCGCGAGCTTCGTGTACGCGCGCGCGCGTTCATGTACACGTGCTATGTGGAACCTATATAGTTATATATACATATACATATATACACATACACATGAACATGACACGTGCACATCTCGTGTACTTCAATCTCTGCCTTCTTCTCCTTCTTCTTCTTCTTCTTCGTCACTTTAAAGACGTTCCTTTCCCCTCTCTCCTCCTACCACTCCTCCTTTCCCTTTGGTATATCCTCATATTTTCTTTAATCTCCGTTCCTATCCTCATTCCAGTCGTAATATAATTCATGCTATGAAAACCGTCAGCAGCATTTGTCGTTTCAAAATCAAGTTTCCTAGAGGGGAAAAAAAGGAAAACTAACAAAAGGTCCTTCCTTCGATTTCTCTTTACTCCTAAGAAGCAGCCGATTAAATCGTTCAATACTTTTCTTCGTTGGTGTCAAGTTGAATCCAAGTGTCTATATATATATATATATATATATATATATATATATATATATATATATAGTATATAGGAAATAGAACAGAATGAATTGGAAAAGAGAGAAAGAAAGAAAGAAAGGAAGAGAGTCTCTTGACGATCGAAAGGATTTCATCGTAGCTACGAGTTCCGACAATATCTGCATAACGAGCGACAAGTGGCTTTTCGCTAAAGGGCATCTTTCCTTCCTTTCTTTTTTAAAGTGGCCCATGCTTCTTCGATTTCAAACAGCTGCTCTAATAGTTCGTGCCTTTCTCTATATATAGAAAACGATAGGGCACGAGAGGATGAAGTCGTTGAAAAGCTCAAGGAATCGGAAATAGAAGCACGAGACTTTCCCCTTTTTCGTCTGTACTGACTAAATATAATCTGCCATTGACCGTACTTCTTGACTTAGGATGGGGGAGTGTGGATTTCTATTCTATACAATATTAAATGTTTTCATTTCCTTTTAATTCTATTTTTGAATTCCAATTTAATTTGAAGCATGATTATTCATCAAAAGATAATGATGTTTCTTTTTTTCTTTATTTTTTTTTCTTTTCTTCTTTAGTTTGGGTCTTTCCGATTTGCACGGAGATGGACGACTACATCCAAAAAGTGGTCCAGGTCGTCCAAGTGGTTTTGGTTTTGAGCTTACCTTTAGATTGGTACGAGAAAGAGGCGAAACGACTCCACCCACCTGGCCGGCAAATGTAATGCAACAACTAGCTAAATACGTCTTTAACTCTGGTAACATGCTGCTTCCTGGTGATCATGTTTCATGGCACGCTCCTTTGGACAATGGCAGTGGTCGCATCACGCAAATTTTAATGGGCAGAGATCCTCAACTGCCTACATCAGTCTCCACTCCTCATGGCGAAGTATGTTGTCTTGAGAATATCATTTTTTTATGGAATAATATATATATATATATATATATATATATATATATATATATTTATATTTATATATTTATTAACTGTAATTAATAAAATGTTCCTAGGTTTCATTCGTACAAATTGTGGGAGTTACTTCTGAGGAATTACAAGCAGCTCAACATTGGAATGGTCTGGGTGTAGTAAATCTTTTGAAAACGACTAGGGGTTGCGGGCCTTGGTTGTTGACGGATATGAAAAGGATGCATTCTGTTATGGAGGAGGATCCTTCCGTTGCAGAGAAAATTCAATGTGGTATTGAGAGGGAAGGATCCAATTTGAGTGGCGTTTCTGCAAAGTGCTGGTACTATAAATCAATATAATTCTTTACAAATATTTTTTGTTTCTTCTCTTTTTTTCTTGAATGAATATAGATGACGTTGCGAGTGAATGTTCAGAGAAACAGTATCACTACATTTTTAGGTGGGTACAAGTTAGCGGTGACAAGAGTACGGAAAAATATAGAGAAATTAAAGAAGATTCCGACGACGAAGATATTAAACCCATAATAAAGACAGAAAGATTATCTCCTTGTGAACAAGAGAGAGATACAGGCTTTTCTGATATTAATTGTGTCAAAGTTTTACCGGGACTACATTTAACGTTTAACCTCGAAGCTGGATCCTTGTTGCCATTAGCGATAAAGTTAGTAGTAGCAAAATTTGTTCGTGATATTTATTATAAAATATCGGATGATCATTTATAGATTTTTTATTGCAGAGGACGAGTTATGCACGGAAGGCATTTTACGTTTAAATCGATATTGTCTCACACAGCTGTGACGATAGTAGCACCCTCGGTTACGGGTACTTTGGTATCCAAAGAAAAACCATATGTTGTTCAAGGTCCTTGGTTACAAGTTTTACTTCCCGAAGATTTGTCAGAGAAAATGGCAAACGAATTTCAGATCTTAAATTCACCAGAAGAAGTGAGTCCTACATACGATTCGTCGAATTTACATTTATCATTGTACTTGAATGATTTTTTTTTTCACGTATATTTATAGATTCAATTGCCAAAAACATTTTCTTGGCCCGAACATAAGTTGGTTATAACCGTTGTGAATGACTGAAAAAAAAAAAAAATAAATAAATGGAAGAAGAAGAAGGTAAGGTCCTGCCTCGAATCTCATGGAAAAGTTTCTTTCGTATTTTCTAATGTTTAAGCTCGTAACATTGAGAAGGATTAAAGTATTATACGGTTTCGTTAAAAGGCGACTTCGAAACGGATATTTATAAAACGATCGCTTTTTTTTTACGAATATACATTTTTTTTAAGTTTTATTTTAATTTATGAATTTTATAAATCGCGCGTTAGTGTTTATGAACACGTGGGAAAGAATTACGAGGACACGTAAAAGTGGAGACGAAATATTATTAATAATAATTTTAAAAGGGAAGGTTTGAACAGAATTAAAATGAAACGGATTGAACAGTCTCTCTTTTATTAAATGATGTCTTATGCTTCGTATTTAATTATGTATATAATAGGATATAACTTATAAAGTGTAATGGTATTTGATATACGGCTTTACACATTGTTATGTATAATAAACGTTTACATAAAGACGATGTATAAGATCCTGATATTTTTTTTGCGAATTTTCTAGGATTTTGGAAATCAATAGAGAATATCTACTATATTACCTTGACCAATAATCCTTTTGTTTTATTCAATAAGGTTTTCTTTCGAGGTCATATTCTGGGAACGTTTTACGTATCGACCACCTTGTTTGCCAGATTTCTTACACGAGCAATGCTGTTTTCCATAAATCTTTGGATTTGTGTTTAAATTATTATTTTTCTTTTCCGCATTTCGACCAAACCAAGTCCATATTTTCGTTCGTGGATTCTGAAGAATCATGACATTGAAATTGCAATGTAAATTTTATTTTTGATAGTTTATAGCTGCTAAATCAAAAACCAGATAACTCTTTATAAATGTAAAATTTTCATAAAAATCTAACGGTAATCTTATTAAGATTCAAATGCGAACATGTTACCTGGTTTTTGTATCATAGCCTTCAATGTCATGCTGAAGCGAATTCTTCACTATTTCATATGAGCCTATAGAGACTCCAATATTTCCTGTCCTAGATCCTTTCTACAGCAGAACCATTCCTCGTACCTGCTTCACCAAACTCATAACTATCCTGATAGCCTCAATCCAAAGAATGACGACAATACACGCGGAGGCAAAATCTTCCACGTCATCGCATTTGATGCTTTTGATGATATTGACGATACCATGAAAGGTATTCAAGTATGTTCTCATAGCATCGATACAGAGATCCCTGAGGAAACACATCACTTGGAAGAATAGATTCATCATGGCAAGTATTAGTTCTAGTGTCTTTGCTAAAAAGTCCATAAAAATGTCCAGTAAGGATTCGAAGGTGTCCCATAACCAACATGACAAACGCGTAGTAAACTCGGTAAATTGTTCGATAACATTTGATAGCCTTTTTTTCATGATAGATCATTAATTTATACCGATACCATCACAATTTCTTTTATTCCTATAGACTTTTGATACGTAATTTAACAGAGATTCGTAATCCTTCACGTAATTGATAGGAAGAATTCAGAAAGGTTAGATGATAACGAAATATGAAGTTGTCAATTTTTAGACGGATAAATAATAATTTACATTCTTATGTTTTTCGAGTAATAGTTTATTTCTTTGACGATATAATTAAGATATACAAATTGATTATGACAATCGTATGTTCTTCGTTTACGAACTATCGATTTTACATTTTAGAATGAAGATAAAAAATTGTAGCAATGGTGAAAAGCCTAAATGGGATCGCAAAATTATGTTATTACATGTCGTAAGATATAAGCTTACAAAATTATTCAAAAGATTATTCGATTTTGTTCGATGTAAAGCGACGGTCGGTTAAAAATATCGTAATGTGGCAGTTTTCGTTATTTGTGTTCAGAAAATGATCAAACATAATTAGGTATGTCTTTTCCTCATTGACTGATATAATTGTACTTTAGATTGAATTCGTCTCGCTCAAACGAGTCCAAAAAAAATAAATAATATCAAGATGATCAAAGATGTTTCTTTGATCCGATTAGTCCCGTTACATGCATCTGCGTCATTACAGGATTGAACACAACCCCGAACGTATCTAGAAATTAGAGAAATTATATCGAACGTTTTTAGCTATAATTATATCGTTCTAAAAAAATTTTATATTACTTATCGTCAAAATAGAAACCACCGCAATGAGACATTCTTATGATCTCAGAATCCGTTGTCAGAGTTCCGCTATCCAACGCACAGCTTCTGACAGTAAGTGAAACACCGGATTCGTCTGAAACAATTTAACTTATTTAGTAGAAGTCACGAATCTTCACTTCTCCATTAAAAACAATTCACCATATATCCCAGCTATTTTTATACAAGCGGTCGCAGGAAACAGACCGTCTCGACCTTTGCGGCCACCCAAACAAGGTGACTCCAAAAAGGCAAGACTGCCATTATTGTGAAAGGGATCGTCACAGGGTTTGTTATCACCGTCGATTGAGACACATTTAAAACAATCAATAGCCCAAGCTAAAAAAAGAAAAAAAAAAGTAAAAAGAAAAAAGAAATTTTATACTTATCGAATAAATAGAACGAGTAAATCAAACGACATCTTTAATACTCCAACATTAATTAAACTGCCGTCTTATTGATTTTCTCACGCCATTACAAATCATTGAAAAATTGATTGATCATCAACTAAGACTACTGACCTCTTTGAAGAAGAACCATTAGTAACATGAGAATGCAAAGAATCGAAAAACATTCCCGATTCATTTTCCTTTGAAAGGAAAGTACTATTAGCTTCGTGAAAAATTCTACGGATCTTCATCAGCTGTTGGACAGTTGAAAAAGTCGTCGATGAAGGTCTTCGCCGACGCTCATGACAGGATCGATATCGATTGAAAAAAAATTTGTTGGATCTATACTTCTTTTCAAAATCGTTTTACAATCCACCGTCTACGATTGAACTTATTCTTACTTATTAGATCCATAGAGAGATCTTCTACGAAGAAGTATAGGCCTCGACAACGTTCCTTGACGTATTGCACTTCCTTACTACTGACGTAATGTTTTGCCACGACGTTGCCAAGGGAATATATATATCGTAGCCTCGTACCGTTGTTAGAGCTCGATCTCTTCTTCGAAGATTTATAACTTCATAACGGATCGATTATCATCTTCCTTGCGTCGCACCTCATTATATCCTCCTTTATCCTGGCAAATCTCGAAGGAATTTCAGGGCAAAGGGACACGGACTAGACGTGTATCTTCGGAGATCGTTAACAGTTCGTCGAATATCTTTCAACAACGAGGAGAAACGTTTCAAAAGCAAAAATCGAACCAGTTGTTCGATTTATTCGAATTACTTTTTCGCAAAGTAATCGCGTGATAGTGTTTTAGTAAAGAACGAACGAGAACGATGACAAAAACGACTATGACAACGATTACGAATACAACTACGACGACGATGACAACGACGATCATGCGGCACGCGAATTCTGGGTGCAGTTTATGATTTACTGAAAGGAGACAGCGATCTAGCAGAAATGGAAACACGTGGGAGGGAGGATGTCGGTATTTCTTTGTAAGACCGATAGAATCCATCTAGATTTCGTAGAAATAAAAAATGAATATAGTTATAATGAACATAGCTATATGCGAAGTTAATGGAATCCGATTTATATTTTATTACCTATTTTTACAATGTTTGATATAAATAATAAAAATAATCTAATTGTTTCGACAATACGATAAAAAAGAATCGCGGGAAGGTGCGGTAAATTCATTTGAGGAAGTTGATAATTCGTGTAAAACTCCGCAGGCGCCGTAAAAGATAAAGATAGAAAAGGAGGTTTGAATTGTCGCGGGTCGCGCATGCGCGCGCAGCGTCGCGGGCCAATCACCTTTCGTCGGCGTGAGAGAGAGAGAGAGAAAAAGAGACGTAGAGAAAGAGAAAGAGAGAAAGAAAGATAGAAATGTAGGGGAAGAGAGAGAAAGAGAGAGAGAAATGTAGGAGAAGAGAGAGAGTGGGAAAGAGAAAGAGAGAGCGAATGAGCGAGAGAGAGAAAGATTGGCGGTTGGGAGGGAAGGGAAAGGAGGCTGGTGCACGTCTCCTCTGCCGTAGCGACACACCGCGCACGGTTTACAACGACCACCACACCAGCACAATGTGACTCTGTGTATTATTGTTTCGAACGAGGAAAAAAATGTGTCGGTCTTTCTCGCTTCCATGTCTCTTCGAGAAGTTCACGTGAGTTCGGGTTTCGGAGGACAGTGGAGCATCGCCTCGTGCCTCTCATCGTGCCTCACATCGTTCAAGGTGCGACAATAATAATGGGCCAGTCGTCGAGCAACACCGGACACAGCGGTGAGTCTCTCCTTCTCTCTCACTCAACTAATATACACCTTACGCGTTCCCAGTCTCTCCTTCTCTACCTGTGTAACCACATACGTGTATGTACACGCGTATACATACACTACGAACGCGAGAGAGGCCTTCTTCTTTTCTTTGAGAACGCGTTAAAAAAAAGTAGTGTATTGCCACTATCCACCACAGCTACCATTTCTCTACCATACTACTTATGATCTTGACTCTCTTCAGCATCGATAGCGATCTTTCTTCGAGCCATTGATTTGGACATTTGACGTGTGTCAACCTGTCACGGGTTCTCGTTCCTCGTTTTAAACTAACCCCACGACCTTTATTTCTCTCTCTCTCTTTCTTTCTCTTTCTCTATCTCTATCCCTCGTTCTTTCATACTGTCTTTTTCTCTTTCCTTTCTATTTTTCGTTCTCTCTCTCTCTCTTTCTTTCTCTTTCTCTCTCTCTCATTCTGTCTTTCTTTCTCTTCCTCTTTTCTTCTTTCCTTCTTTGTCTTTTTCATGTAAGATTTAGCTACTCGAGAGAAGGTTCATCGCCTTCCTTTCTTTTCTTTTGTTTCGTTTTTTGCAAATTTCTCGATTATATATCTATTTCGAGAAGAACGACATAAAAAAAGAATAGAAGACGCTTGTTTTGAGGTTAGGTCGACCGTGCGTCGACGTAATCAAAACTACCAAAACGGTTCTCTCTCTCTCTCTCTCTCTCTCTCTCTCTTTCTTTCTTTCTTTCTTTCTCTCTTTTTCTCATGTACTCGTGTTCTAACGCGTATACGCACCGCAGTACGTTCGTTCATTTTCATTCCTTCCTTCCTTTGTAGTGAAGTACCTAAAGTGATCGTGTCACTCATTTTCTCTCTCTCTCTCTCTTTCTATCTTTCTCTCTCTTTCTCTCTCTTTTTCTTTCTTTTTAATTGTCTTGATTAGGATCCAGGCCCAATTACCCTTTCATGTAAAATAATCGCATTGATCTGATTTTTCTGCCGCATTGACTCGATCTGCGCAAAACGATCGTTATTGTATAACCAATGGGATATTCTCAAGTTATTCTTACTCGTACTGATATTTTTTTCTTTCTACATTATTTCTCTTCGTCCTCTGTTTATTGTATCGTTTCTCTTGCGAACGTACGCTTATTTTTTTTTCTGCCATTCATTTTTATTCATTCATTTATCGAAGAAAGAGCGTTGGTCATTACGTTTTTCGTTTGTTTACACTTTGTGCTTGAGTGAAGAAGGTTCGATAAGGCAGGTGTCATCTGTTTCGGCGCAATCAAATAATCTTTCTTTTTTTACTCGTGCAGTAAGTAGAATACGTTTTTGTGTGAAGTATATATAAATCGTATAAAAAGCTCTAATTGTCGTTTCCTGTAGATCTCGAGTCTACCGTATTATTTATATCCTTGATAAATGCTATTTTCGGAAATGAATAGGTACGACTATTTTTTTACCGACTCGTCGACCCGCCAGAGTTGTCCAAGGGCGACACCTACGCTAAACTATTTACCTGGTCGGTAAGAAAGGAAATGCTCTTCCGGTATGTCCGTAATATGTACGAGCAATCGCGCCGGTGACAACGCGGTTATTAATTTTTAAACGTTCTTTGTGTTTTTTTTTTCTTTTTTTGTAACGAGGGATAATAGCTATGGTAATTGTTTCTAAGAAATTTTTTTTTTTTCTAATATTTATCGAACATCTCACTTAGATTTATTTTATTTTTAATTTAAATTTTTGTAACAATTCGAGGATGCTTAGAAATATCTAAGTCGGATAATACGCATTATCTTTTAGGTCATTAATAGTTCAAATGAATAGTAAAAAAACGTATCGTCTTAGGATATGTGATAAACTATTGAGCTGCTTACGCGTTGATTTATTTTAGAAGAGATAACATCGAAGTTGATATGTTGTTTCGAACGGGGAAATTTGCGACGTATAATTCGCTCTTATCACTATTAGAGTTTCAGAAATTTTAGTATATTTAATTGATCTATTATATCGAATTTATATTGTTATTATTCATTAGTTATATTTATTTGCAAATTACTTAAGATAAAATAACCACAAAATAACCACAAGCTTTCCGTATATTTACAAGTCAAAAAAGCGTTTTTAAGCCCTTGGTACAGGCACGTTCATAATGTATATAATTAGAAATTGCCCTAATGAGGAGCTAAACGTGTACTGATAGATGGCGTTCTTAACTATAATTATCGACGATGCAAAGTGTGCTGTATATTTTCAGGTACAATATTAAAAAATCATATAAATAATTATTGATTGTCATAAAAACGATTTTTATTCATTGCAATTAATTTCTAAAGTACGAGGAATACTCTCAGAAAATATATAAACGAACGTTCGAATTTGTTCCATTTATCATTTTTGCAATACAAGTCATCTAATTCTAATTAAAATATTTATCAAAACATAAAGTCTAGGAAAATCTAAAACAAATCTAGGAACACATAGCAACTTAGATAACAATCAGTCACTAGTAACACAACAATTTCTTCGTAATAAATAATTTATTATACGTTTGCTTTCGATTGCATGTTAAAGGATAATAAATTTCCGAGCGTTCTATAAATAATTAAGGAGAAACAAACGTTGCCTTTAACGCATTTGTCGTCTAATAGCATGTTACATATTTTTTTATCAATACGGCGAATAATGTATCATTGACAATGTATCATTGGCAAAGCCGAGAAAGTAATAATTCCTTCAAAATGTTTTAAGTCTCATCGCTTCATTTAATTACGATTGTCTCGTTAATCATATATTATCACAAGACTTTAATTTCATTGGTCTTCAAGCAAATATTTCAACAGCTGCAACTTTTCGCACTTTACCACTATCTTTTATACTTTCATAAGGTTTTCGATTGCGTTTTACTCGTATAAGGTTGGGTTTCGAGGCTTGCAAGATGGTCCCTTGCACCCCCGTAATACTCCTTTCCTTTTCTCTAGGTGCCCAGGTACGTTGATGTATATAGTATGGGGCACAGATGTTATTGTCATATGGCAGACACACGGCCGAGAAGAAGGGCCTAGCATCGAGGTAGCCGAAAACCGCGATTGCACGTTTCTCGCGAACGGATCCTCCCTAATATCAAGTCGAACATGGAGTGAGTGAGTGAGTGTGAGAGAGAGAGAGAGAGAAAGAGGAGAAAGAAGAGAGAGAGAGAGAGAGGTGGAGTGAGAGAGAGGGGGAGAGAAAGAGGAGACTTCCTCCGTGATTATCTAATCGCCGTCACGCGAACGTCGACCGCAGTAATTTCGCTCGTTAGTATTCGAGGAAAGGGGAGGTAAAGGGGAAGAAGAGAAAAGTAAAAATATTCGTGTATCGCCATTGTCCTATATAGCACACATGATACTTAAGTGAGAAAGGAAACCACAAGATGAAAGAAAAGTGAAGAAAAAAAATATTCTTTTTTCTTCTCTTCTTTTTGTTTTTGTTTTTTTGTTTTTTTTCTTCTTTTTTTTTTTCTTTTTCCTTTTTCTTCTTAAAGACTATAAAATCTTCGTTCTTCAGAGGATGGTAATGATTTAATGAACCGTATAGTAAATCCTTGGAACAAGCTTCGACGGTGGATGAAATTTCGTTAGGATACGAAAGCGTAAGAGCGACGATAAAGGGTCAAAGGCACTACTTCCGGGAGGGTGTGGACGAGGAGGGTAAAAGAAGACAAAAAGGAGGAAGAAATCGCATAGACGAGGCGCTAGCGTTGCCTCTACTTCAGGGCAGCGACCCAATTCTCATATGTATTTATACCAGAAGACGCTATGCCGGCTGCGTGTAGCCATTTTGAAGAGAGAGAGAAAGGGGGGGAGGAGGAAGAGGTGTATAAGAAAAAAGAAACGTCTCGTGCGTCACGAGACGCACTTCGAGATCTCTAATGACTTTGGAAATTCAATTCCGCCTTCTGTTCCGATAGCTCGCGTCATTGTTTTTTTCTTCTCCTTTTTTTTTTTTTTTGGATAATCTTGGTCGAATTATAATCATATCATAAGTTAGATCGCGTTTTAATTCTCATTATTACTATTATTTATTTTGTTTTTCGTTTTGCTCTTTTTTGCGATTTCGCATTATTTTTCTTTTTGTTTTTTTTTGTTCTTTTTATTCCAACGAAATATAAGAAATTTTTCGAAAACGAACTATTTTTTTCTTTTCTTTTTTTTTTTTAAATGCATCGAAGCAAACATGATACGTTAGGAAAAAGCAGAAGATAATTGAGAGAGATAACGTTTTCCGGAAGAACACGAGAAATTTGAAGAAAAAAAAAGAAATGAAGAAGAAGAAGAAGAAGAAGAATAAGAAGAAGCCCGATGGAATTTGGAGGAAAAGCGTCTAGGTGAAATATCGTCAGGCAGCCACTTCGTCTTACGCGAGCGTGCATATCTCTCTTGCATAATCGCGGAACGCTTTCGAGAGTGCTCTTGTTTACGGCCTCGCTCTCGTATTTTCTCCCTCGAGTTGTAGCTTCCGAGCTGTGGATTTCTTTTCGAGCGAACGTACGTATTGTGTGTAATACGACTTTTGCAAGTGTGGAAGACGGAGAAAAAGAATCATTAGAAAAGAGGAAGAGAAACGACAACGTTGAAAAGAAAAGGAAGAGAGAGAGAGAGAGAGAGAGAGAGAGAGAGAGAGAGAGAGAGAGAGAGAGAGAGAGAGAGAGAGAGAGAGAGAGAGAGAGAGAGAGAGAGAGAGAGAGAGAGAGGTAGATAGAGAGAAAGAGATAGGGATCTATAAATCTCGAGCTCGAAATCCTCCCACGCTTCAAGTCGACACAGCTGATTTCGTCGTTGCGTGTCCCTCGCTCGAGACGTTCTTACGTAGACATTGCACAATGACTTTACTTTTAAAGCTCCTGGGACAATTTTAAAGAACCCTCTTTGTACGAGAATCGGTCCGCCGGAAAATCGGAGAAAAATACTCGCTTTACGATTTAAACATTCTTTCTCTCTTTCTCTCTCTCTCTTTCTTTCTTTTTTGCTCTCTTTCTCTCTTTCTCTCTCTCTTTCTATCTCTCATTTTTTCCTTCTTACTACTGTTCTCTCCTTTCATGAAGCTGCACGTGCGTCTGAAGAAGAACTGGGAGAGGAGGAGAGACAGCGTATTGTTACGCGAACTTGCGTTCTTTGCTACTAGAAAATAAGAGGGAAAGAGAGAGAAAGAGTGAGAGAGTGAGTGAGAGAAAGAAAGAGGGAGGACTTTAACTTTTTCAACCTGAACTGGAAAGCTGTATTTTCTTTTGTAAGGAAAGCGGCAGGTAGCTCGAAAGGTCTTCTTACTCGATTGATATCTCGAAACCGCAAGAATCAAGGAAAGATCGGTATGAAGAAAAGAGAATTGGAGATGGGGGAGGGAGAAATTTTAGTTCAGATCTTGTACTAACACAAACATATTGTAGTAGAAGTAATTTGACTAAAAATAGTTCTAAAGATAAAGAATAACTTATATAAACTTTTGAACGATCGATGACGATTCATTGGTTCATATACATTTTCAATATTTCACAATTGATATAATATACGTTCAAGTTCGATAGTAGAGATATAATAAAAAAATTTATATATATATATATACCCGATATCTTTATGACACGGTCCGTTTACTTGACTTTTATCGATCCTAAACATTGTTTGTGTGCGTTTATATAGACACATATAGACTTATATTGACTTTCTCAGGAGTGATCGTAAATATGACACAGATAGGAGGAAGAGAAACAGAAGATGAAGGTGGATCGGATCGCTAACTATTGAGAAATCGCCGAGGTCTGAAGAGCGATGCTACGTTACATGGGATTTGTACACATAGCAGAACTTATTTCTGGTTTCGCGGGAGTATATTCGTCGCGGTGCCATCAACGTTAAAGCCTTCGTTAAAGCGGAAGAGCAAAGCAGAGAAGAAAGAGAATATCGCGATGATCTTCTAGCCGCGATTCGTCAATAAACTTTCGCAGTACACCAGGAGAGCTCTGTACTATGTACATATGTGACGTTGAGTCTCGAGAATATAGGTCGTTCGAAGCTGTTTATTTGCGAAAAAACTACACCTGCTATTTCCATCGCTATGCTACATCAGGAGTAAGAAAGAAAGAAAGTGAAAGAGACAGGAAAAGAAAGAGAGAGAGAGAGAGAGAGAGAGAGAGAGAGAGAGAGAGAGAGAGAGAGAGAGAGAGAGAAAGAGAGAGAGAGAGAAAGAGGAAGAGTCGGTTTTTGAACAAAATGCTAACAAAATGACAATTTATTCAAATATTTCTCAAGAGAGACTTTTTAAGCAAGATACTTACAACATGTCGTCTCTTAGATTTATCGTAAATCAAAAGATCGAGGATTAATAAGTATTTATAATACAAATATTTATCATATTGATATATTCTTTTTATACATTTACATGCATCCAAACTTATATATAAAAGTGTTGATACAGTATTTAAAATTAGCACGACACACGCGTTAACTACCCTAACTCTTTGTTTATAGAAAAACATATAGTTAATTTTGTAAAGATCACGCCGACGGAAGAGATCGATCTTCTATGTGGATCAACTGCACGTGTACACCATATCTTTACATAATTTTTCTTCTTTTTTTTCTTTTCCATTTTTATCTTCATAGAAAAAATATATAAGTACTTTCCTTCGATGGTATTTCTTCGAGCGAAGCAACATTTTATGTTCTAGAGGGTTGCTTAATGACGTTTCATAAGAACCCCTTGCTTACTTTTCTATATTCGGAGCTCGTCGTGTTAAGGGCGGAAACGTCGAGGGGTGAAAAAAATAAATAGATGCTCGGTGTAGGTGGCAGCCAATTCTTTTGGTAAAATGCATTCGCGTGGACACACATTTAAGCCGAGATAGACGACGGTAATCGTTGCAGTGCGAGCATATGCGTGCGTTCCCGTGCGAGTAAACGAGGAAGGGACGGACGTTCGTGCTTTTAACGTGTGCACCTTCGGACAACGGCTATTCTGAGAACACGATGCACGTGATTTTACTGCGATATTTTACGGAAGACATCAGAAAGATATTTTCTTTTTGATAATTACATTTATTACAAATATTTATAACGTTAATATATTTTTTCTCTTTTTTCTGCTTTTTTTCTTTTATGCATTAATTTATTTTTCGTCAATTTTTTTTTTTTTCATTCAACTTTCAGACTAGAATTTCAATTTCTCAACGAATTAGATTGAAATGTTTTTATTTCTGAAAAAGAAATTTGTTCATTATTTATTACTTGAAGATATATAGGCATTATTATTGGTAATAGAAAATAAACAAAATACGAGACATTACTCGTGTATCGTATTTACTTGCAGTATCGTCAAACGTGCCGATATGTTGTCCGATTTTCAAAATAACATCTCTAATACCATCCCGATAGACGGAGGTTAATTCAGCCTGGCTGACCGTCTATTCCCAGTGCAGAACGTTGCAACACATAGGCTGAAAGTAATCCCGCCACGCTGTATTCTTAACTCGGTGGATGTACGAAGACGACGAGGAGAAGGAAGAAGAGAAGTAACGTGCTAGTGGAAGAGAGTAAGTGAGTGAAAGAGAAAGAAAGATGGATAGAAGAGATGGGATGTCGGTCTGCATTGAAGGAGGGGAGGTAAGGGGATAAAAAAAGGGCAAAAGAGTACGGCGATGACGTCAATCGGAAAAGGTTCCTCCCGTGCCACGAGACACGAACCACTCTCTCTCTCTTTTCTTTCTCTTTCTTTCTCTTTTTCACTCTCTTTTGCCCTCCATCTTCGATACTAAACTCAAAGTCGAAGCCAAAGTTATCACAGTCTTTTTCTTTCTCTCTCTCTCTCTCTCTCTCTCTCTCTCTCTTTCTCTCTCTCTATCTCTCTTTCTTCTAATTGTTCGTATCTCCCTCTTCCTCCACCTTTTCTTATCTTTACTCTCGACGGCGTCTTCTCATTAGAATAGGTGAAAGCACGCGGGTAGTGGCATGCGTGCGATCCGCAGGCGAGAATTGGCCCCACGTCAAAGAAGCTATTTGCAACTCTCGCGGATTAATTTTAAGAGCGAACGACGATTTTGTTAACCTCTCGTCTCACCGTCTCCGGATCCTTTGCCAACTTCCCTCCTTTTATCCTCTCTCTTTCTCCCTTTCTTTCTTTCTCTTCTCTTTTTGTTCGATGTAAAGGCGAGAACACCTGCGCCGTAGTTCCGTTGATTTAAGATACGTACGATATAACGCTTATGGCTGCTGAACATTGAAATTATTCAGAACTAGGCATAGTTACCTTGAAAAATTATTTTGAATATCGATCTATCTTTATGTAAAATGAGATTTGAAACCATATACTATTAAACAAATAATTTTTGTATAGATATGTATATGCCAATTTTATCATGAAAATCCGGCCCTAAGGAATGTAATGATGTGATGAATTTATCGTTTACAGATGTGAGAAATAATTTTTGACTAAGGTAAAATTCATTTAAGGGATTAAATAAATAGATAAAATATAAATAGTTTTATTATTACATATTGAAGTTAATAAAGCGTGTTAAGATATTCACCGAACTTCATATGATTCATCTTAGCGATGGACCGAATAATTTTTATTAAAATTTATTCGATTACAAAAAAGATGCTTGGTGAAATTCTTACGAAACGTCGAGATTTCGACTTCAATAATAAGAACACTGTACAGTTGAAATAAAAAGTAAGTATAGAATGATATACGTTGCTTTCTCTTAATTCTAGACGCGAAGTAATCTGCTATCATCAAAGAATTCCCGTCACTCTCGTAATGTTGAGTGGAAAGAAATGCTGAACACCATAGAACTCGAATATAACACTTACGTAACTCATTATGAGGAATTATAAGGACTATAAAGAAAACGGTGGTAGTTATCCTGACTATATGGAGGACTTAAACATCATAGTCGAATAACTGCAGAAAACATTTTTTATATACCCTCATCCTCTTTTACAGAACAATCGATGGTCGGTCTTATAAATAATGAAATTATATTATAATATAATTATAAATAAGAATGAAACATTCATGTAATTGTTTAGAAGGAATTATTTAACAGAATAATTTATTTTTTCGTGTGATGCAAATCGTTCACTTAGCATTCATAATTGAATCTCTCAAAAAGCTTGCACAGTATCGATCGATAACGCGGCAATATTGAAAGCAATACACACGTCTAGCTTTATCTCGTAATTCTGCGTTAATTATGCGACCCTTTAACCCTCTCTCATTTTTCTCAGTACTCGTGATCGCAATTGAAGGGCAACCACGGCGTTGCAGTTTTCAAGGTGTACGCTACGAATGTCAGGGTCGTCGAGAAGGT